GCTTTTTAAATTAAAAAAAAAAATTAATCTTCCCATAAGACTTAATTCTTAGATAAAATTACCTAGGATTCAGATTTCTGTCCATCATTAAGTCATTTCCCAAAAACACATTATCTTGGTTTTTGTTTTTCTTGGGAGCTAGAATTCTCATTGGCAAACAGCCTGTGTTGGTAGGTTAATAAATCCATGCATCTGAGCTTAATTTAGCAAATTAAAATGTTCTCCTAAGATACTAAGTTTGCATATGTTCCCAATCCTACTTAAAAATCACTTCTAGGTATTATGATCTATTGAAATTAGTGTTTTAAGATAACATAGCATTCTCCGTATTACCACCATTGATTTGAAAGTCCTGTCAAAGGCTTTATGCTAATTTCAAGTCATTCATGTTGGAGTTTAGAATAAACTCTAAATAAAGAAGCTATTACTTGGAAAATACCATTCAAAACATTCTTGATAGAAGGGAGAAAGCGTGCCTCCTTAATGTACCCTTCGCCTCTCTTCAATGAAAAAATGTTCAACTAACATTTGCATTCTAAATCCTAAGATGCATATATCTTAAAATGTGAGAAATGTGACAAAAGCCAAAAGGCCTTGCGTCATCTTTTCATATCAAAACTTTGTCAAAGTGGGATCTAAAAAAGTGGTTCCAATTATACTGTGAAAGGAAGAGGGCCACAGAAACTTGATGCTTTAGAAGTTTATATCAGAATTCACAAATAACTGATTGCTTCCATCACAGGCAACTTCTCTCTTTGCATAATGAAATATGCCAATGATGGCTCAACTTTTGAGAGATTTCAAAGTCACGGGGAAAAGGGAATTTAGAAAAAAAAATAATTCAAAAGATTTATCAATTGATTACCAAGGACTAGGTAAGTACTAAGAGCTGGCTTCCTTTTAAATGGGAGAGAGAAAAAATGGCTGCTATACCACACTACACTGGAAGATTAGGAGACATCCAAGAAAAGCGCAGTGGCCAGAGAATTAACTGTAAGAAGCTACCTGTCCAAGCTTTTATGGGAAGCACTCACTTTATTGTAAGTAATTAGGCTGAGCACCTTGCTTTTAAGTGAATTCTTGCTAGTGAACCTCACACAAAGAGAGACTGAGGCGGTCTATTTCCCTTAAGGTTTGACAGAAAAAAAAAAAAAAGGGATGCTTGCCAGTTGAAGGTAGTGCGTGATGGCCATACAGAAGGAAAAGTATAAATTAAGTAAAACTTGTTCAAGATCCTCTAATGCAAGAAAATTGGAACAAAACCCAAGCATTCTGACAATGAAGCTAAACCCAACTATTATCCACAACATCTGGAAATTCTTTGCAGGCAAAGGACTAAAAAAATCTCATCAAAGCAAATAGGAAGCCCAAAGGAAATTTCGCAGTGACCTACAGAGACTATGTGATGTTTATGTTTGTACAGATGCTCAAGGTACAAATGAATCTCCATCTTAGAGATGTGTCTCCACCGGTCAGGTTATCATGGGGCATAAAGTACTCCTTGAGACGATGGAAGTAGAGCTTCAAGGAGGAAGCAAAAAGAAGGATCTTCGTGGACAGAAAAGATTCCAAACCAACGTCAGTCACAGGTGTGAAGGTGGAAGAATGTTAGGTGGACAGGGGAAGAAAGCTCAGCGAGCATTTGTAACCCAGTAACCAGTCAGGGCTCTCGAGAAGTACTTTCTTCTGAGGCTGCAAAGCATGATGGCGCCATCAGAAGACAGGCCTCAGAATCACTAAGCCCCAGTTGGGAAGGCCCCAGTGGCCATCAAGGCCAGCTCATCACTGAGTCAGAATCCCCCTACGATGTTCTTGATAAGTGGTCATCCAGTCTTGGTTTGAAGACCTGACATACCCCGAGGCAGCCCATTCCACTCTGGGACAAGAGTCTCCTGACACAGGACCACAGTGGCCTCTTTGCCACCTTCACCCTTGCTCCTCATTTCCTTCGGCTCTCTGGGCCAAACAGAATAAATCCAGGTCCTCTAGAAAAAGGCAAAAATGGCATCCGAATTCATGGGCAGGGTTCCAACTGGAACCCCCATTCCAGACCTTCAAGGGCCAGCGGAAGCAGGCAGTAAAGGAAGCCCTTCCATCCATTCCAACCCTCAGACACACTCAAGCTACAAGGCCAACGTCGCCCCTTACCCTGCCTGGAGGTGCAGCGAGCCGTCAGCTGCAGCCCTAGTAAGACGAGATGCCGTCTGTCCTGCCGCTGTGCTGCCTATGCCTCTGCAGAACTGCCATGTGACCTGCTACTGCACCGGAAGGACCGCGGGGCCTCTCCATCTGGCCCGCAGCTGCATGCTCCTTTACGCTCTCTCTCCCAGTCGGAACGCGAGCTCCTCAAGAGCGGGAAGCATTTCACTTTTCTGTTTGTTCAGAGCTTAGTGTAGTGCTTGGCGTATAACAGTGTGTATATTCTAGATGTGGGTGGCGGAATTCAAGTAACAGCAGTGATTAAACTCTTCTGCAGGCACTGGGTGAGTCACTTGTGACACGAAACGGGATCTGAACATTCCTCAAACAATATTCTGAAACTACAAGGCCTTCAAGGGGCCAGAAGTGGGAGATGGGAAGAGGCTAGATATGGAAACAAAACAGAGTAGAAATAAAGGGAGAAGGTTGTGGAGAAGGTTACTGCAGACCACGGGGGAATTTTCCGACGAGGACGGGGAAGATCTGACAATGCTATCTGGCCTTGCAGCCTCCTGCCTCCCCCCAAATCTCAGTGAAAATCCCACCTTCTAGAAGAAGCCTTCTCCACTCCCTCTTAGGGGTTGTGCCCTTCCTCGGGTAGCTCTAATTTATATTGTGTACATACAGAATTGCTTGTACACAGTTGTTTGCATGTTGCCTCCCTCGTTAGACTGTAAGGCCCTTGAGGACAAGCCCTGCTTTTTCCCCCTTTCTTTGTATTCCTAGCACTTAGCACAGTGCCTGGCACATAGTAGGAGCTGAATAAAGGCTTGTTGACTTGACTTGGAGAGCACTGCCTCTGACACACTAACAATAACCTACCCCCAAAGAGGTCGCATAGGAAATAAGGCAAATGACTGACGGATGCTTGACTGGGTTACATGGCCAGCCGCTGTTTGTCCTTCGTTTTCAAAGAGAACCGATGAGATTACAGGGTGATGTCTCGACTTTTGTGTGAATTGAATTTAAGTGAGGCAGAGTTGAACAAAATCGTCAGCCCAGAACACAGTGGATGACGTTGGGGTCTTCAATGTCTGACCAAGCTACATGCACTTCACAGAGCCTACTTCAGCTACCTTCATGGCCATTGAAACAAACTATTCTCATCCACCCATTCCACCAGAAGAAGTCTTGACATCCCTCAAATGGCCCGCTAAACATTTCCCACAGAGGGAATTCATTTTCAGGTGGCTATATGGACAGTGCTGGGCAGAACTATTAGACAAACTATGAATTGTTTTGGTGGCCAAAGAAAAACTGAGAAGCCTAGATAGACATTTACCAATTAGGATGTGTCCAACATGGCCTCAGACCCTTAGTTTCAATGATCTCTTGGACATATAAGCATAAAGAAAGCACTGAGACTAGTCCTAGTTAAGCTACACCAGACAGTTCATTGAAAAGCCAAAATAGGAAGCTCGTAGATTCCTATGCCCAACAGATCAAGGCAGGAACAACAAAAAAAGAAGTTATGATTCTTATTGCCCAAGCATTGGTAAATCTCTTCTGCCGGTCTATGGGTGAGGTGATGGAGAGAGGGTTCCCAACATCATTCAGTTAGTGAAGATGATGGAAAAATTTCTAGAGTTCCTGGAAATCAATAAACAGATTCATGTGATGTAGCATTTACAGTTACCTGCTTAAGTTAAAAAAGTACCCTGGAGGATTAGCTCCTTGAGGAAAACATCTGGAACCAGCTGAAGCTTAGAGAGTTGGGAATGAACCCATTATGCCCAGGGTCTACATCTTGTTGGATTTGCCACACATGTATTATGCACGTATTTGAAAAGTGGGAAATATCCTAAGTTTGGACATGTCTCCTTCTTAGACCATGGTAGGGGGAGGGGGCTGGGGAGGGTGGGTGGGTGGTGCTAATAATTAGAGAATGGAACTGTTTACGCATGAGTTGGTCAGAAATGCCTAATCTGGGATGTTCATGGAAGAGGAGTTCACATGAGGTTATATCCACATTCTTCACAGGTAAAGAGAGTTGCCTCCAAGGAGCCAAGCTGGGTTATGAGAGCACAGCACTCCTTGTACCAAGTCACGTGAGGCAATCAAGCTTCATTGCCAGATGGGTAGATAAGTAGATACCGCTGAAAGCCCATCTCCACATGACCCTATGACCCTGACCCAGAGAAGGATAGCAGAAAAATGACTGGACTTGAATTCAGAAAATCTGGACTCAAATCTCAGCTCTGTAGCTCACTGTGTTCCCTTGGGTAAAATCACCACCCCTCTGGGACTCATTTTCTTCATCTGTAAAATAAGGGGTTGGAGTCAATGATCTCTAAAATCTCTTTTAGCTCTAAAAAAAAAATCCCATTTTTCTTGATAGGACATGGTAAAGGGAAGCCACTACTGAAATGTGGACTTAACTACTAACCCTTTAATGCTACAGAGAAAACTTTTCATTAACTGTTTGGTGAATAAAGGAGTATGAGTACTAATGGACCCTACAGTTAGAATGGTAGACTTCTGGAAACAACACTTTTCTGCATGGCCCTAGTAAGAAAGCAATTCAGAAATGTGTTCAGGCCATTGCCTAGTCCCCATGTTTAAATACTTATGGGCAGCAATGGGCGGGGGGTGTGCTTCTGTCTTTCTCTACTCCTGCCAATGATAAGAGACAAGGGGAGTATCCTTCCCACCCCCCTCCCATAGAGCAAAAGGGTCCAAATTCCTTCCCTTTTTCTACTCTCCTTCTATGTGCAATTTCAGAGGCTTCTATGCACAGGTTTATGAAACTAGTTGGCTCTGTCTCAAAATGTTCATAGAAAAAATGGAAACAAAAGAGAAAATTAGGAAACATACATGTTTTCACAATTTAAAATTTAACATACATAATACAAGTAAACTGTCAGAAAATCCATAAAAATACAGTGCTGTGATATGTTCTTCCCAATCCATCCATCCATTCATTCTCTCTTGGATTTCATTGGCTTATTTTATAAGTCTACTCTGTCCAGCTCTTTTGTAGCCTAATTCACAATATAAACATTACCCCATGTGGGAGGTGGGAGTGGGGAGAGAGGCAGAAGACGTGTTACAGTTGTGTTTACCCATCCTCACATCAAAACAAGAAATAGTCTTTAAAAATCCTAAAAATACATAAAATACTGAGCTTTAATACTGTTTATCATCGAATAGTGAACTTGTTACTCCATGTTACAGTAAAAGATTTCTATATCCACTAGATATGGTTACGGTTGAATGTACCATTTGACCATCTAGTCTTCTATCTATTAGCTTACAATATAATTAAAGCTGCTGGTGGAATTACATCAATAAATACTGTTACAAAAGTAAATATTTGAAGACATCCAGACCACTAACTTTCGCCAGTGTATGCAGCAGTGACAGTCTACATATATATATATTTTATATATATATACACACACACACACACACACACACACACACACGTATATAAATGATGTATAATATATATGTGTGTGTATATACAACAGTATTTTTGTTGATTTGTTTATACAGAATCTCTTACCTATCTTGAACGTGAATTCATTTAACATGTCTATAGAGTTTACAGTCAGAAAGATTCAGGAATTTTTTTTAAGCAAAATGTGTGAAAAGCCACGACAGATATCATAACAGAAACACCATATGCCAAGAGAGTATCACTTCAGTCGATCCTGACTAATGGCAAGGGTGGTAGTAGCAGAGAAGCACAAACCCAAATTCAAACCCAAATGTCCTTATCTCCTTGCTTTAGGAGTTCTGAGAATGGGACTGTGACTTTCCTCATTCTACCTCTCTCTCCTTGACTCTTCTCAGCTCTGTGGTGTCCCTAATTTGGCATGCCAGCATCAAAGAAGGCATTGTGCTCTATGAGCAAAGCAGAATTGAGTAGCTCAAAAGAAATGTGAGATGTGCAAATTTAGAGCCATCTCCACCCCAAATGTTCGTGTGGACTATTTGTGGCCAACCTGTGATGGAGCCTTCTGAGCTCAGCCATGGTCGCGCACACTGTACCACGACCCCAACGTAGTAATGTCATTCTGGTCTTCTCTGAAGACAAAAGACAACAACCATTAACGGATTTCTCTGTTCTCTCCTCGGACGCTACAATTGCTCCATTCTAACCCTCTCCTGTTTAACAGGGACTCTTGCAAAAAACAAACATACACCTAGGAAACACAACTCAAGACACATGGCAAATGACAAAACTAGAGAAAACCCAAAAAACCCTACTATAAAGATCTAGGCTGCACAGAAAATTTTAACTTGAAAAGTCCTAGAGGGACAATTATTTGGGAATTATAAGCTAGCCCCAGAGGGGCTTAGCCCAAAGAAACCTGGTTTTAGTGGATTTGTCTGAGGTTTTTCTTCCGCTTTGCTTTCTGTGAAGTGAATATAGTGCTTTCCCCATGTGCTAGGCTAATTCTTTTTGCTCTTGTATCACGTACAGAAAAAGGAATGGGAGAGCTGTTCACTCAGAGGAAGGGGAAGATAAAGCAATGCCAATAGCCCCAGGAATGCTGACAGAGGACATGAGGACAACACTGAGGGCAGCCTCGCCGGTCAGGGGGCCTGGGAATCCAACTGGGCAGTCAGGAGGTGGCCCTGCTATCCTCCAGGTCAACAACAGGCTTCAACTGCCTGAAGTTAATGGAGAGAACGCCGTATATGTAACTGGCTGTGTGTGCTGCCAAAGTTAGAGTTTGCTCAGAATTTAAAATCTTGCTACTACTTCCAAACACCCTAAGGAAAATAGCTTTTTTCAGGGGTGGGGGGGTGGTCATAATTCATAAAAATGAGCCTTTCCAAATTAAGCATAAGTGATTTAAAGCAGCATTTTAAAATGAAGTGTGGCCATAACAAGAAAAATAATACTATTTGTTCATCCTTCATATTCAAAGGACAGTAAAAAAAAAAAGAACCAAAATGAATCAAACTTAAATTTTCTATAAGAGTTAAAAAAGCCAGTAAAAAAATCATTAAACCTTTTTTCACTTTTTCATTTTAAAAACAAAACAAAAACCCCATATTTCTAACAAGACAAAGTTAAACTCTGAATGGTCATTTTGGCTTTAAAGTTGCAATTTGAATATGGAGAATGAAGGAGCAGATCTTGTCCTATGTCTATCAGTTTACGGGACTTAAGTTGGCCAGGAAGTGGTGACTGGGCTGGGTGCAGTCAGGAAACAGCAGTCCTGTCACTGATCCAAAGTTTCTGGTCACTGCCTGCAGACCAATGATTTTCTTGGGGACACCGGATATTTACTTCAGACAATTCTCAACAAGTCAGAGGGGAATAAGCTGATGCATGAGGGGTGTAAGCGGCTGCAGCACGGTGTCAGAGCGATTTCTCTGAGAAATGGCACAAAGGACACTAGCGAGGATTTAGCATCCCCCCACGTGAATGTTTATGGTTAAAAAAGAGAAGGGCCGGTCACGTAACCTGAACGGAGAAAAACGGGTGAACAATTCAGAGGAGCCACTGCCACACCCACACCAGGAAAAGAACAACAGGAAGGCCTTCCCAGGTCGGGCCAATACCTCACCGAGGACTGATGGAGGACACAGTCAAAAATCGGCAGGATGAGAGAATACCCAACAGTGGCGACGAGCGTCAGTGGGCAGAATCCCCACACGGAGGAAATCACAACTCTTTCTAGATTTCTAAATATCATAAAAAATGTTGCGATGTTTTGATTATATGTAGATAGTAAAAGAAAAATAACCAGATATTACTGTTACAATAAAATTATATATCGACCTAAAATTATATATCTGGTCGAAGTTTTCTAATAGCTTAAATTTTAACTTTCAAATATAATAACTATAGGATATATTTGGAGACTTTCAAGATTTTTTTGCATCTTATTGCAACTAAAAATATAACAAGCTTAAAAATGGTTAAAAAACATGAAAGATATTTAATACATTCAAAAAGTAAAAAAAAAAATTTACAAGGTTACCAGGAATAAGTGGATTTCTCAGGCGTAGAGAAATCTTACCAATATTCAGGTAATCAGTGAGATGTGGGAAAGAGAAATGTGTTATAATGGTTAATATTTTAAGGAACCTGTTGCTAAATGATAACACAGGCAAAAATCATAACCACTATGCAAAAGGGTTTGAATTAACTTAGAGGCAGGCAACTCTGGATTGCTCATGGCAATGGACAACAGAAAGAACATAAAAACACAAAATCCAAAGAAATTTCTCAGAAGGCTCTAGAGAGGACTCTCCATGGCTGCTTGGCCAAGTTTTTTTTCACTAGCGCTCCTACCAACCAGCCCAAGCTATGACCTTGAATTTTCTCATTTTCTCCCTGTCCTGTTCACCTTCTGGCAGCAGAGGGTGATGAGCACTGGAATTGCAAAAGGGTGAAGAGGGGAAGCAGGGCTAAGGACCCCAGGACTGGCCCTATTTCAGGACTACAATTGGCAACCTCCACTTCTATACAGGCCCCCTCCTCAATTTTTGTAGGAGGGATATTTATTTATGGGATATGTAAGCATATGATAATTTGCATAGCAAATTTCAAGGGCACGACTTTAACAGAAACTACATCATAAAGGTAAAAGTAGTTATTATCTGACAAATTTTTAAACTAAAATGTTTTATATTTGAAAATTTTCCTATAAAACTTCTGAGATGTAAATTAAAATGATCTTAATGAATTAATAGCAAAAGGTTAAACAACACTTTCTAATGTGGTTCTTTCTCCAACAGTGGTTCAAGTAGCATTCATCGCTCTTTAATAACTTCCAACACTTTGTAAATTCTGTTTTGGAATGCTGTGGTAAAATGAGGTCTCGAGTCCTTTGCCAAGATGCTGCATAATGGGGTTTTGCCAGCGTTAGAAGGATCTTCCACATCCCAAATCTCAGGCATACTGCAACCAGGCCTACGGGAAAAAAATGGTTGCGTGGGTTAAAAATGTACATGCACATACACAATACGGGAGTCAGGAAACCCAGGACCTAGTCCCATCTCCAGCATGAATGTGCTATGTGATTTGAGGAAAGTCAGCTTCTCTGGGTCTCAGATTTCTCCTCTGTAAAGTAAGAGGGTTATTCCAGAGAGTCCCAAAAGATTTTTCTAGTCTAAGTTCTATGGCACACATAGGTATAAATACAAATATATGTACACATGCGTATACATGTATATAATGTATAAACAGCACACTAGAATTTGAAAAGCGTCTCTGAGAGATGTTTTATTGACTAAAAATCTGGGCATTTCAAAAGGCCACTGCTGTGCCACATCCACAGGGAAGAGAAAGAAAGAAGGGTAACCTGGACTGTGAGAGAATCATAGTGATATTTCATGATTTTTTTTTTAAATTTAAAGGAATCTCTCAAGCAAACATACCCATATCCAAATAAAAGTTAAGAAAAATTAAAGTGTAGTATAAATTTAAATGTCTGGATTCTCTGCGCCAGTGCTAGAGTACTAAAAGTACAGATATTATGAAAGCAGAAAATATTTTAACTCTAAATCTTTTAAAAGCCTATTGCAATCAATTTAGCTAAATGGGATTTCTTTAACTTCAATGTTTCCCAGAATATTAAGTGAATCTGACACATAATGCCATCAAACGCACTGGGCAACGAAACACTATCAATGCATGAAATTAACTTCTTATGATTCAATGAACGTAGAATACGAATTGTGTTCTATATACTCACTTCGTTCTTCTTATACACCACGACTCTTCTAGAATGTAATAGTTGACTCGCAATTTGAATAATTCCTGCTTCACTTCTTCTGCTGTTTTTCGACTGTACATTGAGTAGACAATTTTTGTTCTTGCCCTTTAAAAATAAACAATCGTGCAAAAGAGTTTTTCAGATGAAAAAGAAAAATAGACTTTCAAGAGACTCAATTAAAAGCTACATTTATATGGGGAAAATATAATCCTTTCATCCAACCCTGTCAAAAAGACCCAGGTACACTCAGGAAATGACATGCAGGCAGGTTTTGCAGAGGAAGCCAACGGTTCTGGAGCAGAGAAGGAAGGACAGGGAAGGCACCTACCGTAAAGGGTGCCCGGCTGAATGATGGCCACGTGGCAGTCCCCAAGCTGGTGGGGGAGGCAATCTGGGAAATCTGGGGCCCAAAGCAGAGAGAGCTGCAATGGTCAAGGGGCACAGAACCTTGGCAGAGTGGGCAGAGAGGGTAAGGGAGCCTCCCAGAACCACACGGCAGGGGGGCAGCAGGTCTGTGGTTCAGAGTTAGAGGACACTGGCACCAAGGCTGGCTCTGACTGTGGGCCCATGTGACCCACTTAGCTGTCAGAAAAATCCCCAGATTTTGGGATGTCATTTCCCTCTGGTGCACAACTTAACCTTCCATTCATATTATACATCAGCAAAGGCGTGAGGCCATATAGCTCACAGTGAAGAAAGAGCTGCTAGGAGTTTGTACGTAGACCGAGCAGGCTGGGAAGATAGACACAGTCCCTGTGCCCTTCAGGAATTCAACCCTAAATGGTGCCAGTTATAATGACCACTAGGTATGATCTCAGAAATCTACTGGTTGTGTGACCCTAGGCAAGTCTTTAACCCTATCTGCCTCAGTTTTCTCAACTGTAAAGTGGGGATAATGACAGTACCTACCTCCCAGGGCTGCTGGGAGGCTTCAGTAATAAGAATTTTAAAACACTTAGCACAGTGCCTGGCACACAGTAGGCACTATCTAAATGCCAGCTGTTGGTTCTATTAATAATAATAAACCATACTATTCATCATAAAAACCACCTCAGTTTTCTCAACTGTAAAATGGAGGTCACAGCGGCACTTACGTCCCAGGGTTGTTGTGGGGATCCCAGGGGATCCCATTTGTGAAGCGCTCTGCAAACCTTAACCTCTCTGTAAGCGCTAGCCGTGATCTGTATGTGTGGAGATGATGTAAGCAGATGCGTTTACTTTTAAATCAATGCACATACAGGTATTAAAATGGGAGCGGGAAGGGCTTCCTGGTGGGGCGAGTCACCTGGCTCTTCGGGGTGGGGGGAATGTCGCCGCGCTGCTCCTTGTCAGTAGAGCTGCCCGCCTCAGCTGTCCCCTCACAATGTTGGAGGCCCCTATTGCATCTCTGTCTCCGTATTCTCGCTGCCTAGTTCAGGGTCTGACTTAAAAAGTGCTTACTCACTGAATGTCCCAGGCCCTGAAGAAACCATTTCTTGCCCCAGGGATTGTCTATTCTATTCTATCAGAGAAAACAGCAAGTGCACGGTATGTAGTGTCTGTAAATACGCAACACATGCAAAGTAAACCAAGCTTTCAGGAACGAAAGGTACTCTGGGAACAGAGGGAGGCGCAGCTCCTTGGGGGATGAGGGAGGGCCGAGCTTGGAAGGCAGTCAGGGCTTCCAAGGGCTCTCAGAGAGGAGGCTGAGCACTCCGCGAACGGGGGCAGCCAGTGTGGGGTACAGACGGAAGACGGGGAATCGGCATGCTGTGCGTGGGGCCGGCCAACAGGCCACTCTGGCTGGACACAGAGCACGTGAAGAAGGGAGAAGAGGGGGGCTGGGGCCAGATCAGGCCTGCAGGCCTTCATATGACAAAGCTAGAAGAGTTTGCACTTGACCGCAGTGGCAACAGGGAGACCCCAGGGTCAGGCCGTGCCTTAACAACGTCATTTGGCATCTGTACGGAAGATGGATTGCTGGGGAGAAGACTTGGGTAAGAAGACCAATGAAGAAGCTATTGCAGTATCCCAGGAGAGAGGGAATGACCTCTGCTCACATGGTGGCTGTGTAGGTACGCAGAGAGGGACATGTGCAAGAGATGCTCATCTGAAAGAGAGGCCACTTAAGATTAGGGGTTACCATCCCTCCCCATGAGGACTCCAACATTTTTATACAAGTCAGGTTAAAGTGCACATCAGCAGAAAATGAGTCACGGAGGCCGTTGGGGGTGGGAGGAGGGAGCAGAGAGATGGTCAGTTTCCTTCACTTCTTGGGGAGGGGAGCAGAAGAGGCATTTGTGGGCAGATTGCCAGATAGAAACCTTGGGCTTTATCAGCTCCAGCTGGCACCAGCCTAAGGCTCTGTTGTCTCCCTCCCCGGGTGGCTACTTAACTACCTGGTTTTACAGAACCAAAATGGGGGCCTCGGGACATGGTGTGCTGTGAGAAGACATAAGGGCACATCATTAAGCGTAAAGCCAAATTCTCAGTATTTGGGAATTAGGACTCGGGAATGTAAGAGGAAGACATTAAGGACCCTCTCCATGGTCACCGGTCCTCTGCAGTGACCTTTGTCTGGAACAGAAGCCGTGCGAAGATGAGGAAGGAACAACTTCCATACAATGACAGCCATCCCAAACTGGAAAGGCCTGCCTCAGTGAGTGGAGGAGCTGCCCTTTCAGAGGCTCTGCTTGTCGGCTGCCAGTGTGACAATTCCTTCCCAGGACGGGCTGCGCTAGACAACCGCAGAAGGGCCTTTCTTAGCTCTAAAATTCTGCAGTTTTCTGACGTCCAAACCCTGCACTTAATCTCTGCTCTCTTCCCTTTCTCAGCTAACTCCTCAAAAAGGCCGTCTGCCTTCACAGCCACCATTTCTGCAAGCCTTTGCATTCTGGCTTCTGACCTCATCACTCCTCTGAAACTGCTGTGGCGTAAGTTACTAATGATCTTAGAACTGCCAAATGGAATGGTCTTTTCTCAGCTCTCCTCTGGACTATCTGACACTGATGCCCACCCTCTCCTCTCCTGGCTCTCCTCTGGAGTGTCTGACACCTCCTGCTCTGGTGAGCCAGTCAAGAAGGCACAAGGCAGCCCTCCCCACCCCGATAAGAGGTACGTGCTCCCCAAGATTCCCTCTCAGGATCTCTTCTCTTTTTCTCTACATTCTCATTTGTAATGGCACAAGCTCCCCTGGGTTGAATCATTATCTTTATGCAGATGACTCACAGATCTATCTATCCAGGCCCAGTCTCTTCTCTGAACTTCAATCTTACGTCACCTTCCAGACATTTCAAACTTGGAGGCCCCAGGGCTATAAATTCAATATGCCTAAAATGGAGCTGTGATGTTTCCTCAAACCTCCCGATTTCTGCTGACGTCACCAACTTCAACTCTCCCAGATGCGTGACCTTAGCCTCATCCTCAAACCCTCCTCTTCATCGCTCCCCATCTCCAGCCAGCTGCCAGATCCTGCTGTTTCTATCTCCCCAGCATCTCTTGAATCCAGCCCCTTTTTCTACTTACACACCTCCCACCTTAGTTCAGGCCTGTATCACCTAGAGTCCCGTGACAATCTCCTAATTGATCTCCTGACCTCAAAGCCTCTCCCTGCTCCAGTGGGTCCTCCAAAATCCTGCAAAACTGACCTTGTTTAAGCGCAGGCCTAACTACATCAATCTTCTATTCAACAAACAGCAACGGCTTCTCATTTCCTCAGGGATAAATGACTCCATTTGGCTTTTAAAGTGCTCCAGGATCAGGCCAGTCCATTTTCCAGTCTTATTTTATAACACCCTCCTCCCACACTCTGTGGCACAGACACGTCAGCCCCCTCTCTTTCCTTCACACACAACACTTGGTTTCCCATCTCCTTGCTTTTGCACTGGCCATCCACCATGACTGGAACAAACTCCTTGCTCAACTTTCCCTCAAAGAATCCCTCTCTTCCTTTAGAATGCAGCTCAAGCATGACCTTCTACATGAACCTTTTGCTGATCCCAGCTACCTTGTATTTAACTACTTGGTATTGATTTGTACTTATGGATTTATACACTTGTCTTCCTCATTGAAATACAAGCTCTTGAGAGTAGTAATTTTTTCACTCTTTGAACCTGCACCCTCAGAACCTAGCCCAGTGCTTGGTACCTAGTAGACGCTTATAAATGTGTATTGATTAATCGCTCTCCTTGTAGTCTCCTCTGGAAGCTTCGCTCATTACTAATACCTTCTCCAACTGGAAGTTTCCCCCTATGTCACTGGCTCCTTCCTGGAGGCCTATAAACATACTTAGGCTTTCCCAATACCTAAGGCACCTTCCCATTGCCTCACCATTCTCACAGTAATTGTCTAATACCTTTCCTGCCTTTCACTGTTCAATTCCTTGAAAAAGGTAGTATAAAATCATTGTGGATAGCTTGTAATTTCTCATTTCCAATCCCATAACTCAACAGCAATAATTCTCCAAGATTCCCCAATGACCTCGTAATTGCTAAATCTTATGACCTTTCCCCAGTCTCACCCCAGCCCTGACCTCTTCAGTGTTCAACAGTCCTGTGTGCTCTCCATGGCTTCCACGACACTGCCTTCTCTTGCTTGTCTCCACTCCCAGTCTCCTTTGCTGCTTCATCCTCCTCTCCTTGTTCCTAAGTGTGGGTCTTCTCCAAGACTGTCATCAATAATCACCTGGACAGCCTCTGTAGCATCAGTCAATTCTCTTACCAGGCAGCAGCACAAATGTCCTTTCAAACGCATCAGGCGCAGCTTTGTTTGCCATTACATGCAGTTCCATTTTGTTAAAAGTGGTACAGATGACAGTATTCCCTTCAGAAGGACACTTGTGGTTTTTAAAGTTGTAAAGTGTTGACTCCCCTTTAGTTGGACAGGGACACTTTAGGAAGACATAACATCTGCCCTCCAGTTTATCTTCTTCCTGACCGTAGCGGCCTTTTCTTCCAAAAGGCCTTCCTGTTGACTTGCTCCCTTCTCGGAAGTACACGTACTTGGATGTGTCACAAGGGCTCCAATCTCATCAGTCACCTCCGACTCTCTGTGACCTCACGGAATCGGGGCACACCTGGCCTTTCTGTTTGCCACTATCCTTTAGTCGGTCCAGGTTCGTGTTCATTGTTGCCATGATCCTATCTATCCATCTCATTGTCTCCTGTTCTCTTTTCCTTTTGCCTTCAATCTTTCCCAACATCAAGGCCTTTTCCAATGAGTCCCATCTTCTCATCACGTGGCCAAAGATTTCAAGCTTCAGCTTCAGTATTTGAGCCTCCAGTGAATAGCTGAATTAATTTCTTTAAGTATTGACTGATGTGATTTCCCTGCTGTTTAAGGGACTCTCAGAAGTCTTCTCCAGCACCACAATTTGAAAGCACTGATTCTGTGGCATTTAGCTTTCCTTATAATCTAATTATTAAAGCCATACGTTGTTATTGGAAAAACCTTATACCTTTGACTAGATGGATTTTTGTTGGCAAGGTGCTCTCTCTGCTTTTCAGTCTGCTGCCCAGATTGGCCGTAGCTTTCCTTCCAAGGAGCACGTGTCTCTTGACTTTGTGGCTGCAGTCGCTGTCTGTGCTGATCTTTGAGCCCGAGAACATAAAGTCTGACGCTGCTTCATTTATTCTCCCTCTAGTTGCCAGGGAGGGATAGGACCAGTTCCTGAGATCTTAGGGTTGGGTTTGTTGTTGTTGTGCTTGTTGTGGTTGCTAAGCCTCAAGCCAACTTTGACACTTTCTTCTTTCACCCTCATCAAGAGGCTTCTTGATTCTTCTTCCCTTTCTGCCATCAGAGTGGTATTGCCTGCATATATGAGAGTGTTGGTATTTCTACTGGCAACCTTAATTCTAGCTTTTTATTCATCCAGCCTGGGATTCTGCATGATGTACTCCGCACAAAAGTTAAATAAATAAGGTGACAATCCTCAGCCTTGTCATAATCACTTTCAATCTTAAACCAATCAGCTGTTCCACGTTTGGTTTTAACTCTTGCTTCTGGGCCCTCATACAGGTTCCTCAGGAGACAAGTAAGATGATCTAGTACTCCCATCTCTTGGAGGACTTGCCACCTTTTGTTGGGATCCACACAAAGTCCTTAGTGTACTCAATGAAGCAGAAGTAGATGTTTTTCTGGAACTCTCTTGCTTTCTTCATAATCCAGCAAACACTGGGACATAAACTGATCTTTTCCAATCCAGTGGCCACTGTGAGTTTTCCAAATTTGCTGGCATATTGAGTGCAGAACTTTAACAGCATCATCTTTTAGGGTTTTAAATTGCTCAGTTGGAATTCTATTACCTCCCTTAGTCTGATTATTAACAATGCTTCCTAAAGCCCACTTGACTTCATCCTCCAGAATGTCTGACTCTAGATCAGTAATGGTTATTGGTGATGTTGGGATCTTTCTTATATAGTTTTTTTGTATATTCTTGCCACCTCTTCTTAATTTCTTCTGCTTCCGTTAAGTCCTTAACATTTTTGTCTTTTATCATGCCCATTTCTGGATGAAATTCTCCCTTGATATCCCTAATTTCCTTGAAGAGATCTCTTGTCTTTCCTATTCCATCATTTTTTCTACTTATTTGCATTGCTCATTTAAAAAAAAACTTATCTCTCCTTCTTATTCTCTGGAATTTTGCATACAGTTGGGCATATCCTTCTCCTTCTTTTTTACCTTTCACTTTCCTTCTTTCCTCAGCTCTTTGTAAAGCCTCATCAGGCAGCCCTTTTGCTTTCTTGCTCTTCTTTTTCTCTGGAACGCATTTGTTGCTGCCTCCTGTACAACATTACAAATCTCTGTCCGTAGTTCTTCAGGCCCTCTATCTACCAGATCTCATCCCTTAAACTATTTATCACCTTCACTTCATATTCATAAGGGATGTTAATTAGCTCATACCTCTATGGTCTGATGGTTTTCCCTATTTTCTTCAATTTAAGATGGAATTTTGCAATAAGCAGAATATGATCTGAGCCAGTCAGATCTAGGTCTTGTTTCAACTGACTGTAAAGAGCTTCTTCACCTTTGGCTGCAAAGCATAGAACTAATCTGATTTCTATGTTGACCATCTGGTGACACCCATATGTAGAGTCACCTTTTGGGTGTTGCTATGAACAGTGAGTTGTCTTAAAGAACTCTATCAGTCTCTGCCCTGCTTCATTTTGTACTCCAAAGCCAAACTTGCCTGTTATATTGAACATATCTTTTGATTTCCCACTGTAGCATTCCAACCTCCTCTGATGCATGTGACATCTTTTTTGGTGTTATTTCTAGAAGATGTTGTAGGTCTTCATAGAACTGATCAACTTTGGCCTCTCTGGCATCAGTGGTTGGAGCACAGGCTTGTATTACTCTTAATATCATTTAGCCATTTTTGAAATTATACCCCGGTACTGCTTTTCTCACCTTTTATTGCCTATTAGGCCTCCTCCCTTTCTTCTAAGGGATTCTTGCCCACAGAAGTATATGTGGTGATCATCTGAATTTAAACTCACCCATTCCCATCCATTTAAGTTCACTGATACTCCTTTAACTGATACAAATCACAACTCATCCCTGCTTTAGTAAAAAGTTTCCTTGGCTTCACAGTCAAAACAATTTGTCACCTGATGACCAACTCTCAGATGAGTGGGACAGTTTGTATCCTGGGGCCCATACTGAAAGTCTTTCTGACAAGGTCTATGTTATCCTGGCATTGGCTTCAAAAATGTTGGCTCACCTCTACACTCCAATGAGACGATGAAATGTGTCAAAAGTCTTTGAATAATACTTCGTAAATGGATTTTCATCTGCAATTCTAATTATAGGAAACATTGAGGGAACAAAAACAAATACTCCACATTATTATCTGCCATGCTGACTTCTAAATTCTAGTCCCCCAAGACAAAACTCAGACTTTGTTCAACTGGGAAGGAATAAATGCTAAATTGGAACACTGACCTCAAACCTGCATCCTCATAATGGGGATGGTTAACAATGGGTCTCAGGGCAGAAAGTTTAACACTTGCCATTGTGGGCATTGCACCAGCAAAAACAGCATCTGAAAAACAAGAGGCCACTAGAGATCAATTTCCAAAGGAAATAATTTTAGTCCTGCCCATAAGTTCACAATCTTTTCCTTTTAAATTAAACATGCAATTTAATTTATTATGCTTGAGTTAATATAGAGAAGTATGACATTGCCACTAATTTTTTCTACAGCATGAGAAAACAGAATAAAATTCACATCACAGAATTTAATGAGGTTCAAGGAAACCAGCAATGGAATTGAATTAAAAAAAAAAAGGCATTTTGAGACTATTTTGGGAAAGCACAATTCAACACTCTGAAGATCTCATGTGCCCAGAAGATGATGCATTCTCAAACCTGGGCTAAAAACAGACATTATCTCTCCATTTATCTTTATAATCATAGAGGCTAATATTCAAGACAATAGGATCCAACTGAGGTAAAATGGGGCCTGGACAAATCAGACCCACTGCCTCAGGTCCAGAAGGATACACAAGAGATTATCAAGTAGATATACATTACGTGGGGCAGTCAGCTCAAGGCACAAGGGTCACAAACTGGGGGGGAAGTGCATGATGAACTGCACTGATGTTACGATTTTAATTTCCTCTTAAACTAAAACATTAAAAAGTTTGCTTTTTGTCTCAACATTTCTCAATCTTATTTGATATAGTAAATGAATTAGGTAGAAATTTAAATGTTACTTGTGAATTCCAGTTCTTACTCTTAATCAAGTTGATCCTTTCGGTTTAAACATAAGTTTTGTCTTTTGACGAGGGGAAAGGAAAGTGGGCAAAATAAATAAAATAGTGAAACACTGGCTGCACCCCCACACGTCGGAAATGGTCTCCAAGTGAGAAGAGAAATGCCTGTCGTAGAGACGTGGCATTTTCCATTCTAGCTCTCTGCTAGAGAACACGCTGCTTCATTTACACAAATGGCACCCAATTAAACCACAACCTTACATAATTGTACACTCAACTCAATTTCCACATAATTACTATGTTTGTGAGTATGTCTGGATAAATTTACACTAGTAATTTACATTCTTCATAAGTTGTATTTCCCAGTTCTATTAGAGGGGGAAAACATTGCAAGCAAAGTAGCTGTTGTTGTAATAGTTTTTGAGCACACAAGATAACTTCATTATGATCTTATTTATATAAACATCTCAACTGCTCTAAGAATAAGAACAATAATAAATCTATCTAAATAAGAACTTAGCTAATAGGGGGCTTACAGTCACACTTCTTACATCACCTACAGATATTTAAATCTGCTTAATTCAACAAATTAAATTCAAGAAAATATTCTGTGAGTACCTTCTATATACAAAGGCACCGACTGTATGGGATGTGAAGTTCAACCTAATATACTATTCAACATCTCTTCCTTCTTATCTCCTTGCTATCTACCTTCTTTCTGGAGAAACAAAAGATATCCTTCAAAGTATCCATCCCACCATGAGTAAACAATGGACAATTTAGTAAATGCACATAAAATTCTGGAATAATATATCATATTAAATTTTCTTCAAATGTTCAATAATTGATATTTTAATACTACCTTCCTCAACCAATTCCCTTTTTCCAGGTGGATAACAGATTATATTCCATGAATGGAATTCTAGTATACTTAAAGAAAGCAATTTATCACCAAAAGATTAGTTTAACAATATGGAACCTGTTAACAATATTCTCAGCAATAATTAAAGTACCTAAAAATAGGTATATAATTAGAATTTTTAAAAATGAAATGAAATTTAGTCAAATAACATTCATATACACATCTAATAAACAGAATTAAATTAAAATCTGAGTAAATACTAAAGTTAATTTTTGGAACATAACTTTTTTCATACTATTTTAAAATTTTTTTTTGGTAGGAGGATACATAATCGGAAGGTCATAATCAAAGGAAAGTTCAAGAATTCAATTCAATAAACATTTATTAAGTACTCTGTGTGTGTGTGTGTGTGTGTGTGTGTGTGTGTGTGTGTGTGTGACAGGGCAGAATAGTAAAAGAAACATACAAGTTAACATATCATAAGTACAAAGGAGAGGTCAAAGAGAATAGAAGAACTTTCAGAGAGATGACATTTATTGGGAGAAAGGAGAAGGAAGTTGGGGAAAAGGAGGCATCTGGTATCGAATCTAAGTCTTGAACAATGGAATGTCAAACAGAATTATTCTAGAAAGCTTTGGGCCCATTCTGGGTGTGAGTGATGGTACAAACAAATGCAGAGAGATGTGAGGGAGCAAGGAAAGATTAGAGGTGATCAGTAGCCCAGCCCGGCTGAAGGGGAAATATGTAAAAGAAGGCTGAAAAACCTAAGTGTAACCATTTTGCAGAAGACCTTGAATGTTAGGCTAAGCAGTCTGTTTATTTAGCAAGCAATGGGGAAGCCAGGAAGGTGATTGATGCAATTAGTAGAAAGAGTCCTGGAGCAGAGTCAGAAGACATGAGTGTGAATTCTGGCTTTGCCACCTCTTACTTGGGTGACTTTGAGCAAGTCATCTGATCTCTCTGACTCCATTTCCTTACCTGTAAAACTGGGCTAATGATAGCTACACTCTCTGCTTGGCAGTGATGCTGAGAGGAAAGCACTTTATAAATGGGCGATGCTCTTGTGGAACATGGAGAGAACAAAATGAGAGCTGGACTCCAGCTGTGGGGTGGAGGCCAGATGTCATGCAGACCTGACAGTAGCAGTGGGAGTACAGTTGTCTCTGGGGGGATACGAGGCAACAGTGAGAACAAGAAGGATACGAAAGAGGTTGTTTGCCTAAGGAGAATTACCAGGATCAGTGGGATGGGATGGGCAAGTCAAAGATGTTGTAGGCCCCGTTCCCTAGAAGAATGATGGCCCCAAGGACAGGAAAAGCCGTGGTGAGAAAGCCAAGTGCAGACACCTCACACCCAGCTGGAAATATGGAACTAGGGAATGGGGCTGGAGAGATGTGAGGATCAAGAGCAAGAAAGGACCTCAGAAGCAAGTCAGTCAAACTTCATTGAACAAAGACCCCGAGACCAGAGAGGAGAAGTGAGCTGCGTGAGGCCACGCAGGTAGGAGGAGGCTGAGGTTTCCCTGGAGTTCTCAGCCTCTTATAATCGGCACAGGGATGATACTGGAAGCTATGAGAGTGGAGGAGATTATCAAGAGAGCCAATAAAAAGTAAAAAGGCAGGGGGCAGAGACCTGGGAATGACTCATGGTTAGGAGATGGACAGAAGACTCAGCAAAGAAGACCAAAAAACAAAACCTCACAGTGAGATAGAAGAACCAGGGGAAGACAGTGTCATGGAAGCAAAGAGGACCAAGAAGTGTCTCTCAATAGGACAACAATCCATGATAACGACTTCTGTTTCATCACAACAGGAGCTTCTTCACCAGCACTGATCAAAACTTGCTTCTAACTTAGCAGATGAGCTAGAGGCTCAGTCACTAACTGGTGCTCTCCCTAGCAGTTTCAGAGCTAGTAAGTGTCAAGAGATGAGGTCTGACTCCACATCTTCCTGACTCCCTGACCAAATGCTCTACCCACTCTACCAGGATGCCTCTCAAGGAACACAGAAAGAATCTTTATTAGCATTCAGCTCCAGCACTGGTGCCCATGCAGGTTCTCCAACAATGACATGGAGGGAAGTATTGGAATTGTTATTACAATGAAGACTTCCAGGGAAGAAACTTAAATCATAGAGAATGGATGAGAAAATACAAAACCAAAGATAATATTGTTTTTTACTAACCACAGCAAAAGGGGAGAAATATATATATATATATACACACACATACACACACACACACACACACACACACCCACACCCCAAATGGAAAACAAGTGGCTACAAGTAAAGCTGCATGATAAAGGACTTCAATGAAAGCTAAAAGTCAGTGAGCCAGTCACACAGCGCTGTTAAGAAAAACTAAATATGATTATGAAAACAAGTTTTAAAAGGTGACATGGAGAGTTTGGATTAAAATTAGAAAATTTCAAATTGAGGAGAGATGTCAGTGAATGAATTACTATATGAGTTTGCATAATCTTTTCCCTGTAAACTTTTCTGAAAATAGGATAGACGATGCATTTGGTTTGGGACGGCCTGGTAATACTCCTGGAAGGAAACAGCCTTTGTGATCTCATCATTTTAAACAATCAAACATACAGGACAAGCCATGACACAACAAAGCAGTTTTTTACCTGGTTTGGTGTTAAATTTGATCCACTCTATAAGTTCCTCCTGTGGCAAATTGCTAAACTCCCCGATGATGTTCCATTGGTCCTGCAGGTTGGCGGACCCTTGTACTGACATGACAGCTAATACAGCGAAAACCACAGTACTGGGGTGCACTTTGCAAAAGAGCCACCCAAAGAGCTGGGACAAGAGAAACAGTTAATCGCTCGTTGTTAATAGCCAGACATCGGCTACTCCTTATGCTGACACAGCCCTCACTGTGGATGCCAGTGGAAGCCTTCCCCAAGGAGTCCCTGCTACTGGGCAGATGAGCCTAGAACAGAGCTCAGCAACCCTGGCACTCAGCACTTCTAGTAAGGGGCTGCTTATTGCAAATCACGTGCAACATGGAAGCAGGATGAAAGACGAAGATGAGGAATGACCAGACTTGTTTGTCTGTGGGATAGTGGGCACAGCACTGGGCCTGAGGCCAAAAGACCCAGAGCTAAGTCCCAGCTTTTATCATTTGCTAGCTGCATGACTTTAGGCAAGTTTCCTCATCTGCAGAATGGCGGGACAACCCTCGCATGACCCACACACCCCAGGGCTGCTGGGAGGATCAGATGAAGAGTGGATAGTACTGAACAGGAGAAGCCCTGCACAGGCCTCGGAGCTCATCCTGGGCAAACCCTTTGTTTTGGAAGACATTAGAAACAATTTGTAAATAGATGCAAACTAGGAAGTATTGGCCCCTTGGTACAAATTTAGAGAAGATTTGCTCAGCATTCACAAATCAACAAATAGTCACAACCAAAATAATGATAAATTAATAAAAGGTATCTGAAGAAAATTTGGAGAAACCGAAAGTCTCTTTAAACCAACAAACATGCCGCTTTAAAGGACCTGATCCCGGAAGGAAGATGTGAGGTAAGGCTGTGGATGAACCCAATTCCTTGCTTTTTCCCAACTAAATAACATATTATTCAATACCACAACTATGGTAATGAGCTATGGCTTGGTAACAATCAAATACTCAAACAAATTCTAACAAAAGCTCAGTCAAATTTGGTCAAACAAAAAGTTATAAACATTCTTTTCAGACCAGTTTGTCAAAATAAGCTCTGTGTTTTGCTAGCTAGAAGCTCTGTGCATCATACACACACAGTGTGCAGCTCTTTGCGGTATTCTCAAAGCCATGCTGGTGGCTCTGAGAGATACAGAAAGCAGAGGGGAACTAGCTCCCCATGAACAGCTTGTAAGACGACCATCCTTTAAACAAATAGAGAACAAAGAAAAGTACAGAATGCATACAAACTCTAGATCTAAGTGAAGAGGTAACGAAAAAGGAGTAAGCAATGTCAGGTGGAATTTCATAGGAAAAGGATTAGGTAAAATATGGAACATTTAAAATTTACAGTGATATTTTAAAAAACGGTTCAATAGTTTTTAAAGTGGAGGCAACTTGGTGGTGAAAGGTGGAGGTAATCTGTCATTGCTGTTCTAAATTAAAAAGTTTAAAACAAAAATCTTACCTGTCTCGAGCAGATCAAAGAAGCCATGATACACATGTGTGGTGTCAGAAAGAGTTTCAGTCTCATAATTAAAATACCAAGAACTGTATAAGCTAATAGTTGCAACGCATGATAAACCAACTGAAAAATGAAACAAAACACAAGTGTAAAACAAGAAATAATTTTTACCTAAGAGGGAAGAATTTTAAAGAATTGAACTTTCACACTTTAAAAGAAATGGACTGCATTCCTTACCAAAAGGAACATTCTGATTTTACTCAATTGTTTACTTCTTATTTGGTAAAAAATGACAAACTAGTTATTAAATTGCATCAAATAATTAATGCTAGTCGACTCAAACATTCATTCAGCCAACACACATTTCTCTCTTCACACCATTCTGTCTTAAGCCACCCTCCCTGCTAACAGAGCCCAGATTAGAGGATCATAGAATCAAGAGCCAGAAGGGACATTAGAGGTCATATAATCCAATGTCCTCCCTCACTTTACAGGTGATAGACCTGGGACCTCCAAGAGGTTAAGCAACTAACCATACAGTAAGGGGTGGAGCTGGGATTCCAACTCAGGTGGTCTGACTGCAAATCCATAGGTTTAATCCTGATGCTATCAGCAGAGTCAGAGGAAGATGGGGAAGAAGCAAATGAATAGAACTCCAACCCAATTACTAATTCAGGAAGGCAATTTGGAAAAATGTGGGCTGCCATAAATGTAACAATGCTGTCTTAGGAGGACCCGTTTCAATTTATTAAAAAGAGAGATTACATCAAACACTATATTTAATCAGCTGTCAAGCCATATGATAGCAAGCTTTTATCAACTCTGAGATGAAGACATACATGCCATGCTTATTTGTGGATGACGACTGCTCAGAGACAGTTAATACCAGATCAGAGAGATCTGGCCTCTTTGCTTCTGGACACCACATTTTAGGAAGGACATTCATAAGCTATCATTCATTCAGAGTACGGTAAGCCTGAGAGCAATGACTTAAAACTATGCCCTTTAAGGATCCTTTGAAGGAATTGAGAATGCTTATTTACCCTGCATAGGATCTGTCAATGTTAGTCAACAAATCTTTATGAAGTGTTCATCACGTGCCAGGTGCCATGATAAATACCAAAGATACAAGGAAAGGCAAAAAGACAGTCCATGCCCTCAAGGTTCCATTCTAATGGCAGAGACAATACACAAACAACTGAGGACATGCAAGGTACATTCAGAGTAGCTGGAAGGCAAATCTCAGAGAAAAGGCAGCAGCATGGAGGTGAGTGGATGAAGAAGGTGGGATTTAAGCCTTAAAGGAAGCAAGGAAGCACACTAGGTGAAAGGGAGGAGACAGAGCATTCTAGATACAGTAAATAACCGGTGAAAAGACACGGCATCAGACATGGAGAGTCACGTGCAGGAAACACAAAGGACTGTGGAATACCTGGAGGGGAGTAGGGCACAAGAGACTGGAGAGATAGCAAGGGACAAGACCAAGAAAGGCTCGAGGTAACAGGGAGCCACTGAAGCTTAATGAATGGGAGGGGATGGGCAGACTGTGCAGCTGATGGAGGATGGACTGGAGGGGGAGAAGCCTGAGGCATGGAGACCAACCAGAAGGCTATGGCTACAGGCCAGGCATGAGGTGAGTGGAGAGAAGGGGGCCTACACGAGACAGAGTGGAAAGGCAGAAATGATATAACAGGCTTGCATGTGGAAGAGACTTTTGCCCCAGAAGCCACAAAGGCAGATTTTATTGGTATAGAACTAAGGAAGCAGATTTTACTGGTATAGAACTAAGGATTAGTGCTACTCTGGACTGGAGTCTGTTACTACCACCGAGATTCTCCAAGCACAGGCTGGCTACAGAGGAGGGAGAAGTGGACCTCCAGGATGCCTGGAGAGCCTTTTCACTCCAACGCTTTCCAATCTGTCAAAGCCAGACTGACCCATCAGAAGTGGAGGGGACAACCTCTTGGTGGCTACCCACAGCCACTGGAAGAGTGTGAACAGGAAGGAAAACAGGTGGGCTCTCAGAAGCTGCTCTGCTGGCAACGTCTTGGCAGGATTTCCTTACTATGAAGCTCCCAGAGCACATCAAATGAGAGGTAGTAAATTCACAGTCATCTGACTCTCACTCTAATGGACTTTTCTACATACTGAAGCTGGTCCTGCAGGGCTCATAATAAAGAAATTCTAAAGGACAGACTAGCAATGACCAGGTTTGCATAAATATCCTTAATTTAGCCATATAGGTGAATGAAAAAGAAAAAAAACCTTACACATGTAAAACATTTACCTCTCCATGATCAAACTGGTGCTTCCTGGAATTCAAAAAGAATACAATAATTAAATTATTATTCGAATGGCTAAATAAAGTTCCATTTCTTGTTGATATTATTTTGGAGAAAATTTTTGAAATAAAACTTCCCTCATGTCAAACCATGAACACAAAACATCAACTGTAACAACTCAAAAAAGTGTATGAAATACAAATGTAAATGAATGGTGAATCAGCCACTCCCAGTTCCTTATAATTTGTCCCTTCTCAGGTGCCCACACATTACATGGCACTGTGATTGGGCCTCCAGGGTGCTTTGCAAGCCCTTGCTACCGTATTCGCTTTCTCTTCCTTTTCTTCTCCAAATCTAGAGCAATCAGAAGTTGCTAACTCATTGCAGGAGGCACATGAAATGCTGTATGTAGGAATACCTCAGTTCTATAATATTGAAAGGAGCCAGAGGTATGGCCTTAACTCTCCTGGTACTCAAGATTTCATGGAAGACGAAGCTGAGTCCTTTCCATCCCCATTCTGCACACCTGCCCACTTGAGGAAATGGGCACAAAGCCCACAATCTTTAGGCAACTGTTGTAAGAAAAACAGCGAAAATGAAACAACAGTGTTCCTCCTTCTCCCAGCACCGCCTCTGTTTTACTTATAAAGACACATTACAAGGTAAAGTTGGTAACTTTCTCTTCTACCAGTAGGTTACACAGAGAGCACGTAAGTAAAGGTACTAAATGTCTGAGCTGCTCCTGTGAGAGACTGGCTCTGCTTCTGCTAACAGTGCCATCTGGGTCATGTCCTGGAGCTGCTCAACATGGCCATGTGGGTCTTTCTAGCTTTTCTCTGAGGCTCCCCTGAAACAAGTGACCACTAGAGGCAGGGAGACCCTATCGGAGAGAAGGGCATCTAGATCCTTAATCTTTTTGACCTGCCTCTCAATTTCCAAATGTTCTGGGCAGAGGAAAAATCATAACCACAGCAAGCTGCTGCTGGGTGGGAACCAATCTGTTCTCAGAATGAATGACGGAGACCACAGGATCAGAGGTGGGGAGCTGGAAGGGAGAAGCCTGAGAACTCATTTAATCCAACCCCATTATTTTACAAATGGGGACCCTGAAGCCCAGATGGCTTAAACAACCAAAAACACACGGATGTTAAGTGGCAAGGTGAGCGAGGGGCTAAACCATGGCTCCTTGAGTTCAAATCCCACACTCTTTTTGTTGACCCATGTGTAAAATATCCTCAACCCTCAGACTGCCCACAGCATTCAAGGGGCACCATAGCCATTCACCAGATAAGACCCCTTTGGATAGGGGCTAGCTCACTGTTATCTTTGTGTCCCTAAGCCCAGCACGGTGCCTGGCACAAGGAGGCCTGTGGAAGCTCATGTGGAAGGCCACAGATATCGGAGAAGTAGTGAAGAAGGCCAAAAGCACATAGATCTATCTGGCCTTGGAAAGCATCGAGCAGTAATGGACAGCCGAGTGTGTATGAAGCACTGGGTTGGATGCTAAAGTAACAGTATCCCACATTTTTGTTGCATACATACAACTTCACAAAAGCTCCTCGGGGTAAGCAGAGTGGATCAGAATTCTCTTTCACGTACAGACAGAAGAGATTTCATAACCAAGGTCACCTCATCAGAGAGGGCTTGAGGGTGCAGTGTCATGCCACTGTCCCATATCATCATGTACATCCCATGCCCTCCTTCAAAATGCCAAGTAGGAAGAGTTCAGAAGTCCATGACTTTGATGTTTTATAACAAGACAAGAGATAGAAGGGAGGTTCCAGCAGTAATAGTGTGAAGGTGTGGTTTCCAGGTGAGGCTTCAGGCTGGGTTGAGAGGCAATATAGTACAGTGGATAGACAGCCAGCCTCAGAGCCAAGAAGACCTGGCTTTAAGGCCCATTCCTGACATCTATTGTCTAGGTGATCCTCGGCAGATCACTGAGACTCTCAGGTCCCCAGGGAGCTCTCCAAGACTCTAAGTGGCAGAGCAGGTGCTGATGTACATTGGAAGAGGGAGGTTCCCCAACAGGAATTCCTTAACTCGGATGAAATCATAGTTATAGGGACAAAACGGTAGGAAAGAAAATAGTATGATGCTAGGTAAAAGGGGGTAGATATGAGCAAATAAAGGATGGAGAAGCTTAACTTAGAAATTAAAGTAGACAGCACAAAAACTGAATGATAAAATACTACGCAGCAGAGATTAATACAGAAATTAATATTTTAAAAATGAATAACATATTTACCTTATCTGTGTACGCTGCTTAGATAACACACACAAAATATCACTAATAGTCTGTGAACAGAATTTTTAAAACTTCAGATTAATAACTCCAGAAAAAAACTGTTTTCCAACATTTATATTTTCTAAATTAGAAAACTGAACAATATAAAGATAAGGGACAAGTTAGAACACTAAAAAGAAGTTATTTTTATGTAAGAAGTGTTTTCCCCTTTAATTACAAAAATTCTGGATACCTAGCTCAAGGACTGGCATTCCTAGGATTTAAGCACATCTTGCCCCAGTACAAGAACCAGGAAAGATCTCCTTAAAATAACAACAAATGATGAATTTATCTTAAACTCCATGATCTCACCAGTTTCCCCAACCAACCCTTTTCTCCTCCTCCTTTTCAGATTGATAGTAATGGCAGCCCTACTCTCCTAAGGCATCCAAACAGAGAAGGTGAGCATCAGCGTTCCCTCTTCTCCCCTCCTACCCATATCCCAGTAAGCACCAAGTTCTGTGGAGTTTCCATCCTTTTAAGCCTGCTCCACCTTGCCCTTTCTTTTCATCAGCTGCTGTACCAGCTTCATTCGAGTTCAATCTATGTAACCCGATCAAGCTGGGGTAGAAAGGAGAGACAAACTAGATTCAACTATCTCCTTCTGGGCATAATAAGGCTTTGGGGCACATGTGAAAGCCTGGATACAACACATGCAGAAAACAGGCAAAAACCACGTGTACAGATCTAGAGAAGCGGCACTACATATGTGCATTACATCGATTCACCAAGTCCGAACCTACCCTTCTAACAATTGCCACAAATACCACAAGAACAACCGGAAGAAGCAACGTCCTCGTGTACCTCAATGGAGTCTGAAATTCAAAATGGCATTTTAAGCTGATGGATTACTTTGCTTCAAAAACAATTATCAAAATGTGAAATTCAGTTAAAAATGAGTACTGGTATAGAAATTTAATAAACCACTGAGTCCTACTTTCCCATTAACTTCCACTGGAAAATTGTACATGCATTCCTATAGAAAAGTCCTCCTTAATATGGGGTTAAAAATGTGATATTAAATTTATTTCCCAAGTACCTGGTAGGCTTAAATAGTGAACACTTGTGGCCTGAACATTACTATCCATTTTTATGTTTGCTATTCTTCTTTCTGACTTAACCAAATATAGAACTGAATATATTTTTCTTTGTATCACATAATTTCTAAAAAATTGATACTTAAAATGTTAAAGGTTGCACTACCTTTACTACCTAACCCTAGACCTTTATTTGTGTGAAACACTCTTGCAGTATTTATTACTAGAAACAGGACAACCATGCTGTGCGTAATCAGGTTTGGGGGGAACACAAAAGGACTCATGGGAAATACTGATCCATGAAGAAACTCTACCATGTCAGAGGGAAAAGACATTTCGAACTCTTTTACTTGGGGATATGAAGTTGAATTCACGAAGTCGTTTACCAAAAAGCCCCAGCACTCAGGATGCCTCTCTACCCTAGCATGAAGGAGTGTGGCTCTGCACACTGAAGAAACTGAAATATGTAGCAAAAATCAATATTCATCTATTCTATCATAATACTGCTTTGCTGATTTTTTTGCTTAAGTAGCATTCTGCTATAAAAGTCTTGAGGAAGGATGGGCTTTGAAATTTCCAAAGTGACATTCATTTGTTTTTCCAACATCATCTTAAAATCTATTTCAGCGAAATAACCAATCATTCTGATATCTGAAGTTAGAATCACTTCAACAAAATTCCATGTCCTCTAAAATATTATTTATAAAGAGAGCAAGAAACCGGCCTCAAAGCATATCCTGTCTTCTATGGAAAACCCATACCATTTTTGCTTTTACAATCATTTAAAATAAAATTAGTCATAATTCAATAACAAATATATAGTTTGTTGGATGCTTTAGAGAAAATTAATAATAATAATAATAACGGCATGAAAGAGGCTGAAAGAGGTTAATTGGCTTGTCTAGGGTTACATGGCTACTGAGGGAGGATTTGAATTCAAGTCTTCCTGTCATTAGCCAATCCTTATAGCAAAATTAGCCTCAGCCTCTAGGCTGAGCTTTTACTGCAAGAGGAGAGAAGGGGAAAACAAAGGGTTACTTTAGTATTTAATGGATAAAAGTGTCCTTCATGAGTTTTGAGTTTTTGTATCTGCCATTACAGCTCAGTACTGTAACTGAATTTCTTTTATTACGTGAGGATTTTACTACAAACATCTGATAGGCTTTCTCTCACCTTGTTCTTTTATCATTAAGACAATACAAAATTTCAATAACCATTTCTAGGTTCCATAGAACCTTTATTCTTTGGCCCAAGGCTTAATAAATGATCTGATATTTATCAACGCAGAGTAAATATGTTTCGGAGAATCAACATCGTGTCCAACCCCCTCATTTAGAGATGAGGAAAATGAGGCACAGAGAGGGTAAGTGACTTGCCCAGGATCATTCAAATCTGGCTTCTTTTGTTTTTTAGCATCTCACTATAAATCACAGAAAACAAATTTACAGACAAGATTTCAGATCCTGTTGTCCAATGAATGTATCTTATATTTATACCTGTCTTTTGAAAATGTTTTAGGTTATTTTGTTATCTCTATAGTTATGTTGGGTGGGGGTGGGGGGTCAGTACTATCTTCGAAATAAATGAAGAAACCAAGGCACAAAAATGCAAGATTCAGACTTTCCAACGATCTCAGTCCAGCATTTCCTCCACCATTTTTCAGGGGGAGAATCACACATTGACTTGTGTCCAAAGCTACCCAGAGGCTGACAGCAGCCCACCAGACGCTCCTGAGCATCGAAATGGTGAAAGGCTAAGTTCATAAAGTGAGGACGTGGACGCACTCAGGAGAGTAAGCAAAGAGCTGAACACTTACGGGACAGGTTTGGTTCTTGAATAAAGTCTACTCAGTGCCCCTCCATTTATTTCTTCACCTACCAATTCCTGACCTTTTTCCACTTGTCAAAAAAGGAGCCAACCATGACGCACTCTGCAGAGTGGCCTTTCCTGGACGCAGCAGCACCTCCTTCATAGAAAATGATGGCTAAACAGAGCGCCACAGGCACCAAGGCAGGACGGCGAGAAGCACGCGCTCACCTCTTTTTCCATGAAGTCAAACTCCGCAGCACAGGTGTACATCAAAGTGTCAAAATCCTTATAGCTGAAGAATTTGGAGGTTAACAGGTTGCTGATGTGAGCCTAACAGAAAATGAAGCAGAAGGCAATGCAGTGAGGAATCCTTAAAGACTTGGAGACAACCAGCAAGCTGCCTCCAGGGGCTGCCCGAGCAGCGGGTTGTTGCCTCCACATTGGCCTCCCCAGTCCTCTCCCCTCTGCCCACTTAACTGCGGCCTAAGTTCCAAGGTCTCAGCTCCTCTGTCCACAAGCTTGCTCAAAACAGAACAAAAACTAGATCTCTGAAATCTCTTCTTCATATTCTGGTTCAAATGACTATCAAGGTTTGGCTTTCCAGGAGGCCCTTACAGCATTTCAGCCGCATCAACTCCTTAAGCTAAAGTACAAATTCTACTTAAAATCTGAGGTCTCACCTTTACTGGGAGAAGATTTGGAGGATGGGGAAACTGGGCACTGGTGTACCAGCACCCTTAATACAATAATACCAGCTTGTGGATAAAGCTGTCTGTCGTCATAGCAAGAGATCAGTTATGCCCTAAAGATAAGTGATTTAACACTAAATGTTATTGTAAAAGGACAGTGAAACTGATCTTTAAATCAGTCGATTCATTTCAATCGATTCAACAAACATTTATTAAGACCTACTATGTTCAAGCCACTGTAGGAGAATTAAGGAAGGGAGAAAGATGAGGTTCAGTTTTCAAGTAGCTTCTCACTAAGTTCAATCTAACAAACATTTGTAAAGAACCTATCAAGTGCACAGAACTAGCCAAAGTCCCGTGGGAGACAGGAAGTTCATACAAGTCCCAGCAGTTGTTTGTCTTCCCCTATAGAATGTAAGCTCCCAAAGGGCAGGGACTTTCACTTTGATCTTGGTCTTACCAGCACTGTCTGGCAAACAGCTGGCACTTAAATTCTTGTTTATTCATTGATTGAAGTTTAGAGTCTAATGGGGGGAAGGGGGAAGAGGGGGACACACACAGATAACTGGAATAACTATCAATACAGAATAAGTACAAGAGAAAGAAGCAAAACAAAGTCCCACAGGATCTAATAACAGCCTGAAAAAACCAGGAATTGTATAAGGCTAGCATAAATGCTAACTTTATTAACAGTTACTAGTTTGTAGGAACGAAGAAAGGTTCAAATGCCCCTAAAATCAGTTCTAAATTTCTTTCCCACCGAAGCCTTAGAAGATATTATTTATTACTTCTAAGGGCCCTGGAAAAACTCTTTCTCGTCACATTCAAACTATAATTTGAAGCTACAGCTACCCTGTTGGTGCCCCAGCAGAACGCCTTGCCTTCTGAGAAGGCAGTGGCATCAGATAAGCTCTTCCTTCTTTCCTCCTCCATCCCACCAAACCTCTGAGTATTCTCTCCAATCTTCTTCCCTCCTCTCAGCTCTGAGACTCAAAGACTTTCTTCCGAGCTCCCTGGAATCTCGCTTCATCACCATTCTACAGAAACTGTTTTGCCAGGGTCATCCAAGACCTTACTAAGCCTAACACACTCTCCTCAGTCCTCACCCTCCTTGACCTTTGTGTACATTTTGATGCTGTTCATTAGCACCATCTTTTTATGCTCTCCCTGCTCTCTCCCTGGCTTCCTTATTTTCCTAGGTTTTCTCTCTTGGCTCACATGACCCTTCTTCCTTAGTCTCCAAGACTAGTTCCCCCTTTTTATCCCTATAGGCATACAAACTCCAGTGCTTCCATCTGGACCACCTCTCTCTAGCATCTCCCTCCATTACTTCCATTAACATCTCTATAAGGATGACTCTCATATCTTTATTTCTAGGCTCCACTCCTTCCCTGAACTTCAGTTTCACATTACCATTGCTGTTTATGAGTTTAGATGACACAGCAAAAGCAAGTGATACAAAATCAGACATACTTTATCTTCCTAAGCTTACCAGTCCTTCTAACTTCCCTATTTCTGTTGATGGTACCACCATTCACTCAGGATCAAAATATCAGGAGTCAACTATGACTTATTCCTCTTCCTCTAACCCACTGTGGATTGTACCACTGAAATATCTTTGGAATTTCAAAGACCAGAGGCATCCTCCCACCCCCTTTCAATTCTCATTTGCTAGCAAACTTGCTCAGGTCTTCACTCCAATTGAATTAGAACATTATAACAAACAGCATCCAGTCATTTTCCTAAATCCCTGACTATGTTATCCTCTTGCTCAAAAACTTTTGGTGCCTTCCCAATGACTTCCATAAAAAATATAAGCTCCTCGGCCTGTCATTCATAGTCTTCCAAGAATGGCTCCCACCTATGATTATTGCAGCTTAATTTCATATTACTTCCTTTCATTCACTCTATGCTTTAGTTCTGTGATACTGTTGGACCTTGTCTAACCCGGCTCTTCCCTCATGAAGTGCATTTGCACAAGCATTCACCTGTGCCTTCAAGAGGCTATTTTCCTACTCCCCCGCCCCCAACCGATGATCTCCACACCTACTGAAATCCCTATGTTTAACCACCTACTGGATCTCCCAGTTAACAGTGATCCCCTCCTCCTAGAATCTCTCACCCTATTTGAACCCACTGTCATGCACTAAAGCAGATGACCCTTGAGGACAGTGACCGGGAATGCCCCCCTCATCTTTGCATCCTCAAGGCCTAGCAGTGTCTTCAATATGGCAAGTACTTAATAAATATCTGCCAAACTGGAAAAAGTAACTGCCTTTTAGCAATTCAATTCCCCAATTCATTAAATATTTGCTATGTGTAAGGCACTGTACTCAGCCCTGGGCCTGAACTTAAGGAGCTTCTATTCTGCTGCCATGTTTGATAGTAAACTCATTTCTACATCACATTTGCTATGTGTTTACTACTTTCATACTCGAATATTGAGAACTATTAAGCTATTTAAGCTCTACTAAAACCTATAAACTAGCAGCAATATTCAAAGATGTCACAAAGAAAATAAACCCAAGGAAAGCATCGATTTCATAGAAATGATCCTCAAAGAGTTAATGTCATTAAGGCAAGGTGTTGATTCCCAAGTAGAACACCTCAAGAATGCCAGAATGATGAGAGCAATTGAAGCTTTATCTACAAAAAGGATAAAAGAGATAGCAGCAATACAGAGCACTGCATTCCCTATTTCCCCCAACAGAGAGGTCTTTATCTCTTGGAAGGATGTGAGGGGATGGAGAAGAAATTTTCCCAATGAAAGTCTGAAAAGTTACAGAAGTCTTACTAGTCCCTTCTTGCCTCCAGCAAAGTAAACTGCTTACCAATGAAAGTCAATAATCAGTGTGGTGATGTGCTGGCACTACTAATATTATAACCAAGTCATTTCTCATTTGCTTTCTAGGCTACTTAGCACATCATGGTGCTATGTAGGAAAATTCTAGATGAACCCTTGTACAGGTCATTTTCTTTTAGTTCAATAACTCTGGTTGGTTTATTGCTTTAAGGAGCACTCTCTCTCTCTCTCTCTTTCACACACACACACACACGCGCGCGAGCACGCGCACACACACAGATAGCATCTCCTGCTGTTTACTTTGTACATGATGAGATCTTAAGAAGCAGCCATAAATTAGTAGTCATGTGAACAAAAATCACTTTTTTGATTCTGGTAAAATTATGTCAACCCTCCCACCTCAAATCAATTGCAAGTATTGTCAGCTTATATTTTATTTATAATTTCTGAAAGCCCTTTGATTTGCTTTCTCCTAGGTATAAGAAGCAGTAGGAAAGCAGTTTGAGAAGATTCCTAAAAGCCTACATTTCCTCCTATTTAGTTTCCTTCTATTTAGAGAACTATGTCTTCTGCAAAAGTTCAATTTGGATAAATCAGTTAAGATTATCCTGAAATCCCCATAATCTCAAAACACTAGAACCATATCAATAACAACACAAGCCAGTTATCAAAAACAATAAAAAAAGATGAGTAGCCCCACTAAACACTTTGGTGCTATGTCAGAGGTGTCTTGGAACCTTTGAAGACTTCTCTTCTGTCACCGGATGGGACACACAGAAGCCAAGAAACAAGGCAGCAAAATATGGTGCTAGAAGCCTCGATTTATAATCAAGAACATGTGAGTTCAAATATTGGCTCTGTCAAAGCATTTAACCTGAGCCTCAGTTTCCTTATCTGTAAAATGGGAAGGTTTGGACTATATCACTGAAGTCCCTTTTAGCTCTAAATTCATTGATATTATGAAAATGGATGAATGGCCTCTAAAATATATTTGTTGGGGATTCCTTAAGAATATGTCCATATGTATAAAAGTTTCAGCACACTTATAATATGGAAAGCTAACTGAAGTGTGATAATTAATAACAGAAAACAGTTTTAGAAACTTCTGGAGATATATACAAACACAACATGAATGCTCAGCTCACAAAATGGATTAGATTCTGTATTCTAGTTTAATTTAATGGTAATTTTTTAAAAACCTAAATGTAACAAGCTTCAAATGGAGGATGATTCAATGAAACAATCATTCATCAAGTCTCCCTTTGTACAAGCTATAACATACTCACATCATCAGCAATGCCTAAGATTTTGGAGGTCAAGTACTTCAATAAGACTGTTCCAAACAACCAAGTACATCCTTGAATAACCTGTAAAATAAATATTTAAAAAACTAGATTTCTTAAAATGATATAAAATTACTGTGCAAGCCTTAAATGACAAAATGCACAGTTTAATTACTTACAGAATGAACATTACCAGTATCTAAGAACACAGTCAACATGAGGAAAAGAATGCCAAAATTAATACGTAAGAGTTAAAATAAAATAATGCTACTGACAATTAGTGTTTCAAGCTAGTTATGTTTTACAGAAGGCATACATAGCAATTAGAGTTGAATTATCCTTGCTAAACACACACACAGAGCTATCATTTCATCATCAAACTTTTGCCCATTCGGCCTTGTCACAAGGGACACAAGAGTAAAATAAACAAAAGCAACATATTTTCCCAGGCAAAGTAGGTTCAAAATAACGGTCCAAGTCTGCTTCATGCACACAGGGAGTAGCAGCATCCCAGACGAGTCACACAGAGGATGCTGCTGTGCCTCTGCACTGAATTACAACCAATACTTTATTTTCCTGAAGTTTACTTGGAAGAGAAGAAAAAAAAGGTCCCATGGGTGAGGTAAACAATAAGAATAACAAAACAGAGTGAAAGCCCTCATTGGACCAGATGGCTTCTTACCCACGAGCTGAGTTCAGACACATTCACTTTCAGGAGACGTGGTCTCATTGCCAGGATGCCCTAGCAAAGGCAGAGAAAACACACAAGAAACAGTCAAGGAACCAGTAAGAACTGGTAAATATTTGAACATTAAAAAATACAGAAAGCTCAGGGCCCTCAGTCATTTTTAGCTCTTAAAAATAGGCTCACCACACCCTATAAAGTAACAAATTCCCACACACAAAAGGATTTAATCACAAGTGTCTAGAAATAAAGTTTACCACACTTTGTCCAGGATCTAAAATGAATTTCACATTCATCATCGAATATTAAATGAACTAAAACAATCCAAAATTTAACTCTCACTACACTAGAGATTTCTTTAAAACACAAAGTATATACTTACTCTGAAAAGATTTTTTTTTAAGTCTTCATATTCTACATTCTAGCTAATGTCTAAATCTAAAACTGAAGTTGGAAATGGGGAAGAACTATCTAGCACATTTGTGAACTGGAGTTACACTTACATGTCAACTCCAATCATGTTAATGCACTAACATGTTAGTAGTGTCTATCAGCAAATGATAAGTGCTGATTTCTACATATTTTACTTTTCAAAAATCAACCAATCGATATTATTAAATGCTTACTATGTGTCAGGCACTATGCTAAGCGCTGAGGATGAAAAAAAAAAGAAAAAGAGGCAAAACATAGTTCCTGACCACAAGGAGCTCACAATCTAATGGGGGAGTTGACATGCAAGCAAATCTATACAAAGCAAGCTATATACAAGACAAAAAAACAAGGAAGCATTCAATACGTTCAGAGTTGGGCATCTGCAATCAAGGTACAGGACTTAAATTTGCAAGTATTTGGTCTTTAAGAAGGAAAAAAAAACCCACAAGTGAGACCTAAATTAACTTGCTAAAGGTTTTCAATCCTCTAAGCATGTTACCACACTGCCCATTCCAATTTACTTTAAACTTTGCAAAAATATCATGAGATCAAATACCAAAAATCTGACACCCAAACGAAAACCTCCTATGAGAACCTTCCATTTCAGTAAAATTCTGGTTTCAAACACTGAGCACCACATAAATATAAATCCATGTGTTTATAGAAAAACATATGTAAACAACATGCTATATTCTGAAGCTGCTATTTTAATACTATTTGCATATAACACATACAAATGTGCAAAATATACATAAATATGCGCATACACATACGCTCACTTATAAGCTGCTTGGAACTGCTCTGACTCCTCTGAACTTGCCCGCATGGACAGCAGGATTGCTTCCCTCTCCCAAAGGGTTCGCTCCATATTTTCCCATTCCTCACATCCTAGAACAGAAGGATGGGCCAGGAAGGGAAGGGCAGAGACAGTGACACAGCCAAGATGTGAAAATTCCACCACCTGAGGAAAAGTGACTTTCATCCCCAAGGTAAGGACAACTTTCTTCTCTTTGTTCTCTGGTAAGAAGAATTCCACCATTATGCTGGACATTCAATCAATCCTTCATACATAAAAGTAATTAGCCAGCACATGAAGGCAAGAGCACAGTTACATATTATAAGCAATAATTTTTACACGAATTAAAAATGTCACAATAGGACTTGTCTTTGAGAAGCCAATTTATACAAAAGCACAAGGAATTTAGATACATGGGGGACAGTCTTGAGAGTGAGAGTTGCGAAACAGTGTAATGGGGTAGCCCGATGAAGGAAAATATAGGGTCTTCTTATTAGACTGTCTGAAGATGAAGATAAGATGCTTTGACATCTATTTTAGTTGGCTGGTTTTTATCTCTGGAGAAAACATTTGAGGATTCAATATGGTCTTTCAGAAACTTCAGGTGGTGCCCTGAGAGAGTATATTTGTACAAAATGGGACAAAAAGAGAGTCTAAAAGTTGAACATGTCTTCAGTGCAAAGTATTAGAGGGAGCACAGCACAGGGGAGAGAGGGTAAGCCTTGAGAACGGGAAAGCCTAGGCCTGAGTTCTATGCCTGACACAGAGCTAATATGTGACCACAGAGAAGTGATCATGTAGGGTCTCAAGTATTTCTTTAAGATGATACACTACACTGGTCCAACCATTCTGTAGAGCAATTTGAGACTAGGCCAAAAGGGCTACAAAACCATGCATACCCCTTGATTCAACAATACCAAAGAGATTTTTTTAAAAAGGGAAAAGAACCTATTTGTACAAAAATATCTACAGCAGCTCTTTTTATAGTGGCTAAGAACTGGAAATTGAGGGGATGCCCATCAATGAGGAATAACTGAACAAGCTGTGACATGTGCTTGTGCTGGAGTACTACCATACCATAAGAAATGGTGAGCTTGGTGATTTCAGAAAAACCTAGAAAGACTTGCTCAGGCTGATACACAGTGAAGTGAGCAGAACCAGGAGAATATTGCACACAGTTACAGCTATATCGTATGATGAACAACCGTATATGACTTAGCTATTCTCCGCAATACAATGATCCGAGACAATTCTGAAGGACTCATGAAAAATGCTATCTGCCTTCAGAGAAAGAACTGATTGTTGTCTGAATAGAGATTAAAGAAGACTATTTTTCACTTTTTCTTTCTTTCTTTTTTTTTGAGTTTTCTTGTACAAAACGACGACAATGGAAATGTTTTACCTGATTGCACATACATAACCTATATTAGATTATCTACTGTCTTAGCAAGTAAAGAGGAAAAAGGAGGGATAGAATTTGGAACTCAAAATTTCAAAACAATTTTTTTAATTGTTTTTACATGTAATTGGGGAAAAATAAAATATTATTTAAAACAAAAAAAGAATAAGCTACAGTCAAGTTGCCTATATGAATCTGTAGGGAAGAGTTTCAAACACTGATGAAGTGATAAATCTGGGCAAAATAAAAATAATACAAGTGAAACTCTTGGCAAAGGAATCCCCTGCCTTGTTAGTAAGGGCTCAAAAGATCAAATGATCTTAAGTTAGTGATAATCAGTAATTGTACTGTTAGATGAGATAAAAAAAAAACAGGACGTGCTTAAGAAATACTTACCCAGATAATAACCAAAGAGGAGGCATAATAAGAAGTTAGTAACATTGAGTTTCCAAACATCAAAATAAAACAAAGTGCAAGAGAGATCTGGAAAAATGGAAGGAAATAAAATTAATACACATAAAACAAAAGTAATAATCTCAAAATATTTTTTCATTAATTAAATTTATGAGTAATATTGGATAAATTTGCATGGGATATCAACACCTCTTTTTGGTCAAAAGTAACAGCTAAGATCTAAGATCAAATGCCATATGTGTGTATGTATCTATACATAGATATGTAAACTATTCATTAATTCAACTTTATGATAATTTTAAATTACATTACAGTTTAGCCTAATGAATTTCAACAATAACTAAAACACCCAGTACACAAAAAGGAAAATAGATAAAGGACAAGCACCTGCCAGGGAACTCCATGAAACGAGTGTAGAAGATGGGGGAAAAAAAAGAGAGAGAGAGAGAGAGAACTAATGGATTCAATGAGAGATGCTCATTTCCTTTTTGCCTGTGTTTGAGAATCTACTGTACTCAAGGAATATCAATTTGGCATCTAGCCTCATTTATGATTTTAGCTTACACTTGGTATGAGTTTAGCCTTAGCTGAGATTGCACGGGGAAAGCAGTAGCTAAAGGGAGAGCTGGTTAAGGGCATGGCAACATGTTTAATAGAGCCCTTAGCTCTTACAGAAAAAGTATCCTGGGAACGTGGGAAGTTAGCACAATCAAAATAGTGAGAACAAAAGAAGGAGTTGGAGATAAGACTCAACCGCATTTGATTTCATGTTTTTCAAAATTTATAGGTAACAGTTTTCCGTTTCCCTCCTCTCCTTAATCACTACCACATCTACTGAGAACGTATAAAGCCATGAATAAATCAGATTTACGTAATGGACCAATGTAGGAAGTTCCTTTGGTTGGCCTATTTAAAAGAGCAGCCACCTAATACAACACTGCTTTGAAATAAAAACTGTCCGTGTTATACAATGATGCTGTAAATGATTGTTTTATCCATGGTTTGCTAAAATACATAAAAAGACAATTAAGCTTGAATCTTAAGAGTTTGCTTTAGCACTAGGATAATTTTATTTTTTAAAAGAAAGTAAACGTTACCATGTGGATGTAAATGATCTTCTTTAATTTACATATGTCAATGTAACCCACAACATATACAGCAAATAATGATGCTATCTGAAATTAAAAAGAAATATATTTAAATGGTTAAAAGCCAAATTGTGTACATAATTTTTAAAGTATATTTCTTCTGCAAAGGAGGTTACCACTGATTTAAAACAGAACATGTAATATACGGAAATATTTCTTAGCATGTTAGCATTTATAAAACTTTTATATTTAGAGGTTAAAAATTGAAAAAAGGAAAGGGAAATGAAAATTAGCACATTTAATAACCCTACTTCATGTAGCAATTGTTAAATGTTTCAAAAGCAAAGCAAGATGAAGGAAAGCTTGGCTTTACTCTGTTGGAAGATACACGTATTTAATACAAACAACAGGTCACCCCAATAGAAAGCTTTGTGGCACAAGCCATGTTGAATCCATTACCTCCTCTCACGCTCACAATGATCTAGCAAGGTGTCTCTGACAGGCAGAGAGAAGGAGGAAGGGGACTTTTGCCTCTTAAAGTCCTCCTTCAAGGCTCAGTGAGGTGCCACCTCCTCCGGGATGGCTTCCCTGTGCTCAGCTCTCTCAGATCTTCCTTGAATGCTTTTTCTAGCTCTGTCCTTCACTCTCATCACACTCTGTCTCATAGATCTTCCCGTGTCTATGGTGCATCCCACTCGGTAAATAGCACACTCCTTTAGGGTGGGGCTATGTCATTTTTCATCTTTGTAACCCCAGTACCTAGCCAGTAAGACTGTTAACAAGTCGATCAACAAAACTCTAGTAAGTCTTTACCATGTACCAAGCACTATGCTAAGTGCAGGAGGTACAAAGAAAAGCAAAAAATAAAAAATAAAACTCCCCACCACACACATCCATCCATCCATCCATCCATCCATCCATCCATCCATCCATCCATCCATCCATCTATCTATCTATCTACCTATCTATTTAATGTGTGTATATGTATTTGTAATATGTAGCCCTACCCTCAAAGAACTCACATTCTATAAATATCAAACTGGGTAGGAACATACAAGATATATGTGAGTAGACAGAAGGCACCAGCAGCTAGAGAGCCTGGGACAGGCCTCCCGCAGAAGGTGGGGATTAAGCTGAGCCTTGAAGGATGCCAGGGAAACAAGAGGGGGAGGCGAGGAGGGAGAGCATTACAGAAACAGGTCAAGGCCAGGGCAAGGACACAGAGATGGCAGATGGGGGTACGGCAAGTGGGCCAATGCCCCTAGAGGAAACAGAATGAAGAGACGGGCAGGGGCCAGGTTCCCTCCAAGGGCTTTGTTGACGTTGTTCGTCCTTTGGTTTGTGAAGAGGACCGATGACATCACAGGGTGAGGCACAGCTGCACAACTTTGTCTTCCAGAGTCACCGAAGGCTAGCGGCAGGACAACGTCAGCACCTAACGAAGGACTTCATAGTTGTATAGTGACACAGACATACCCAGGCTTAGGGAAAATCCCTGTGACAGCTGAACAGAAGTTAGTTTAGAGAGGGGAGAAGCATGAAGTACAAGTTCCTGTTTGGAACTTGTTGAATTCTCTGCCAGGGCAGGCCCATTTCTTCAGTTTTCTTACGTTTGCTGTCTTCCCTCATCAGACTTGTAAGCCCCCTGAAGGGGGAAAGGACTTTCTTTTCTTTTTCTTATTTGTATTCCCAGCCCTTAGCACAGCAGGCACACAGCAGGCACTTAATAAATATTTATCAACAACTGACTACTGAAAAGTCTATTGCAACAGACCAAGAGGCATGGTGGCTCAGTGGAGAGAAGGGGCCACACATCAAAGATAGAAATTACAAGATTTGGCTATGTGGGGTGAGTGAGAATGGAGGCTCAAGCATGATATAATAAGGTTGTGAGTCTTGGGGCCTGTGAGAATGCTGGTGATCTCAATAGTAATAAGAATGTTTGGAAGAGGGGAGAGTTTGAGGGAAGAAGATAACGTGTTCAGTTTGGGGTATGCTGAATTTGAGATGCCTATGAGACGTCTAGTTCAAGGTGTCCAAAACGGTAATTGATGGTCTGCAACTGGAGCTTAGGAGAGATGGAGGGTAGATAGAAAGGTCTGGCCATCCTGCACAGAGATAATTAAATCCAGGGAGCCTGATGAGACCAGTAAGTGAGACAGAAGAGGACTTCTTAACCTGAAGTCCACAGACTCCAAGGAGCCTAGGAATTTGGACAGGAAAAAAAAAAACATTTAATCTTTATTTTCGCTAATCTTTTGTTTCCTTTGTAATCTTATGTATTTTGTGCATTTAAAAGCCTTATTGTGAGAAGGGGCCCGTGGCCCTCATCAGATTGCCAAAGGAGTCCATTAGACAAAAAACGTTAAGCAGCCCCAGTAAGTATGGGAAAGAGCAGAGGACCCAGAACAGTGACAGGGAGAAAGGAGAACCAGGCCAGAACAACGTCACAAAAACCTCAAGGAAAAGAGGATCAACAGGGTCTGAGGCTGCAGAAAGGTCAAGAAGGATGAGGACTGACACACGGCAATTAAATTCAGCAATTAAGGCACCACTGGTAACTCTGGAGCGGGAAATTTCAGTTGAGTGACAAGGTTTGAGGCCAGAACACAGAGAGTCAAGAAACAAGTGAGAGGAGGGAAGTGGAGTCAGTGAGTCTGGGCAGATTTCTCCAGGAATTCAGTGAAGAAGGGCCAGAGAGATGCAACAGGGGAGCCATCAGAGGGGGTCGGATCAAACGAGGATGCTTGTAAAGGAGGAAAGAGACAAGGGCGTGTTTGAAGGCAGCACAAAAGGAGCCAATGGAGAGGGAGAGACTGAAGATAAGAAAATACGGATCGATGGGATCAAGGATGCCTATTGAGGGGCTGTCCTTGGCGAGAAGGGCCACCTCTGCATCCCAAGCTGGAGTGAAAGACATAGTGGGGGATGACGTGACATGAGCTGAGGAGGAAGAAGAAGGAGGACACACAACAGATGGCCTCAGGCTCTTTGGGGAGGTATGAGGCGAGGTCCTCAGCAGAGAAGACTGGAGGAACTGAGAGGCTGCAGGAGAAGCTCCCGTGGGAAGTGGGACAACAAGCCCATCATGCAGAGGCAAAATGACTGCCTTGATGCAGATAAGATTGAATGACACAGACTTGTAGAGGATATAATCAGCATACTGCCTAGTACCTTAGATGATGAATTAAATACGTAATCTCCGTTTTACACAGAAAGAAACTGAGGCTCAAAAAGGGTAAATGACCTGGTCAGGGGGACAGTGACAGTAAGCAGTCGAGTCAAGGCATGATGGGCCCACTAACTTCAAACCAAGTATTCTCAGGGCAGCTAGGTGGCGCAGTGGATACAGCACCAGCCCTGAAGTCGGGAGGACCTGAGTTCAAATCCGACCTCAGACCAAACGCTTGACACGTACTAGCTGTGTGACCCTGGGCAAGTCGCTTAACCCCAATTGCCTAAAAGCAAAAAAAAAAAAAAGAAAAAAAAACACCAAGTATTCTCTGCATACCACCTGAGTGAGTGAGTCCACAGGCTTCTGGAGAGAGAACTAGCCAGGTTAGAGCATTTTATGTCTAAGTAATATTTATTCCAAAAATATTTCCTAAATACATGCCATGTGTTGATACTCTATTAAATGAACTGGCCTCCACAAAATCTCATCAATAAAACCCATAGTAAAATGAAAGCAATTCGTCAACCCTGAAAAAAAGCTTATGGATTAAAAAAAAAAATTTGGCCAGACATTGACATGCAGTGAAATGGTAGGTCCATGAATACTGGGTCTGGACCCAGTACGGTGGGCCCCGATTAAACAGAACACACAGATGGTTGTGTAGCCATTTGGGAAACTATGCAAGGCCCTCAACAATTCCCAGATGTTTACTCTTAAAAAAATGCATGTGATGAAGGCCATTCTTCCAGTCCTGCTCTACAGCAACCAGTCACGCAACGCCGAATCTAAGGACAACAGAAAGATATGGGGCAGATCTAGGATGGCTGCAGAATATTCCCAAGAATGATGCCCCCGGCTCAGATGATTCTGATCAAAAAAGGAAGCCAATCATATGGTAAGAATGAGAAAATACGACTAGCTGGAGAGCAGAAACACTACACTGCCATTCTCGAAACCTTAGAAGGAACCTGACTGTTTGGCATGTCCTCCATGGAAGACCGACGGAAGGGCAGGGACAGGAAGAGCTCCAGGGGAGAAGCTGGGGAGGGCTGCGAGCTCCACTGCTGGAGGAGAACCCAAACCAGCTCAGACTCGGAGCAGGCAGGAGCCTCAGAAACCATCTCGTCCAATGAAACGACAGATCATTAGCCATCTGTGTCTCAAAGTATGGTCTGATTTTTCTTTAGTATCTAGATCATGAAAAATTAAACTGTAATTTATGATAACTAAGATGACAAAGCCAAACAAATGCAGACAATCTGTAATTTTTTTTTTTAAATCTGCATACCTGAGTGAGAAGGACAAACTGAGCGAACTGCCAAGGAAGCATAAAGAAGACATTTGAGACGCAGAGCGCAGCCAAGCTTCCTCTGTAGACATGTGTAGCCCTAGAACAGACAAAATGTGTGTAAGTTTAATTACAGAACACATCAATCCAGACTACTGCAAAAGCAGAAAGAATCAACTCCCTTGCCCCCCCCCCAAAAACTAAACCACAGAGCAGACACAACGAGCCCAAAAAGCACTTTCGGCCAGTCCCATTTTAAACCGGACGCATCAATGGAACACAAGTGCAACCAGGAACTTGGCCGCTATCGTGGAGCCATTTCAGTTGGGTCCGACTCTCCGTGACCCCGTGTGAGGTTTTCTTGGCAGAAACACCGGAATGGTTTGCCATTCCCTTTTCTAGTTCATTTTACAGATATGGAAACTGAAGCAAATGGAGGTTAAGTGCCCAGGGTCACACAGCTAGTAAGCGTCTGAGGCTACATTTGAACTCAGGAAGGTGAGCCTTCCTGGTGCCGGGCCCAGCCCTCTGTTGTTTGGTCATTTCAGTCACGTCTGACTCTTTGTGACTCCATCTGGAGTTTTCTTGGCAAAGGTACTGCAGTGATTTGTCACATCCTTCTCCAGTTCATTTTACAGATGAGGAAACTGAAGCAAATAAGGTTAAGTGACTTGCCCAGGGTCACACAGCTGCTAAGTAGCTGATGCCAGATTTGAACTCCCAGCCCCATGCTCTATCTACTACACCACCTAGCTGCCCACGATTATGAATTATCCAATTATAATTCCCAGTAACATAATAAAAGAACTTGGACTATTTTAAGAAGGTGAAATATAAATAACTTAACTTCATATTTTACTGGATTTACTATCTCAAATATTCAAATGGTCCTATGGTCTTACAGGTTTGGATACTTCCTCCAAAGTTACAACTTATCCATGACTGCCCATCCTATGGCCAAGGATGTTCATAGTGTCCTCTGACAAGTTCCTCAAAGAGGACCCACCCAACATGTTGGAGGATTTCTGACTTTCTCCTGACATTGAGAAGAGACTAGTGGAACGTTTGGGTGGTTTACCTCTCGTCCCTAATCCTTACAGCATGACCAGCCCATCTTCTTATTCTATTACACATTTTCTTGATTATACCCTTTACTCCTACTCTCTGATATTCCTCATTCATTTTATGTTGCAACCTGCTAACACTTAACACACCTTTCCATTGCCCCTTGTGAGATATTAATTTTCAGTTCTCCAGAAACTGTTTTGTTACATGTCTCCTAGCCACAAAATAACATGAGCAGAATAATAGTATTTAAAAGATGGTTCTGTATTTCTGGGAGAAGTCTGGAGTCATTAAAGGAACTCTGCAAGCTCTGAAGAGCAATCTAGCCCATTTTTTTCTCTTCCTGTTTAACTGTGGGTTCAACTCATCCATGTATATACGTCTACCCTAGATAAACATACTGATGGACAAACTCAATAGGCTGTTCATCCAGCTCTACATCATAATCTTGGCAATGAACATTTTTCACCTACTTGGCTTTTCCTGGGTGAGGGGACAGACCACATCTTTTTGAGCAGTTAGGGATCTCTTCCAGGTGAATGTTCTCGGCTTCCATGTAATCTATAAAATGCCGTCTTCACACAGGAGGACCTGGAGGACCTCACCATCCACAGACAACCTTCAACTTAGATTCTAAATTGGACCTCCGGAGTCCAATGCCAGTGAAGACTGGTGATGCTGATAGCCGCTGCACAGCTCACATCTCTTGGAACAGCTGGGAGTCACTGACTCTAATCCCTTTGGTCAGATGAAAGGCCAACAGGACTTATGACATGGCCCGTCACTAGGCACTCTGGGCCCTGCCACCAGACGTATTGGTGTAAAATTGGCCTTGCCATCCACCTGCAGGTGGATTTTCATACAGGTCTTATTCTCCTCTAAGAAAAAGTGTGAGCTTCCTGAGAGCAGGGACTCTTGCTTTTTCTATTTGTTTCTCCTATGCTTAACATAATATTTGACCCTAATAAGCATTTAACAAATTACTTTAATTCACTCATTATCTTTTAAGAAATCGCGAGTGATTTTGATGTACAGATGTCTATTAATCAATAAACATTCATTAAGCACTTAATTTGTGCCAGGCACTGTGTTAAGTGCTAAGGACACAAAGAAAGGCAAAAAAGATGCCTCTGCCGTCAAGGAACTCAATCTAATCGGGGAGATAACTATGTACAAACAAGCTATGTACAGGATAAACTGGAAGCAGCAGTGGGAAGGCACCAGAACTAAGAGGGATGTGGGATTTTAGATGGTGGGTATCTTGTTGGAAGAGAGCCCCGAAGGCAACATTTTGTTGTCAATCATCCCAAAAAATTGTCAACCAACTGCACATGGCAAAAAGCGGTGTAAGACTCAGTTTCTGCCCTCCACTGCAATTTGGACAAAGAGGCTGGATGTGTATATATAAAAAAATAAGCGTGAGGAAGCACATGTTCAAAGCCAAATGAATGACAGAGACAGGAGTCCAAAGGACCAAGTGATGAGGCACAAGAGGAGATGCAGGGTGCACTCACGGAAACAGATCAGCAGAAAGCGCTCCCCTCCTGCATCCCTGTAATGGTGAACCCCCAATTGCTGAAGACAAAACTCCAGCTGTCTATCCCTCACTCCCATCAACCACAATCCTATCCCCACTGCCACCTCACTCCAGGGGAACCAGCCTCTGCCACCAGGCTCTCTGCTACATCTACACCGTCACTAACAAACTTCCTCACCTTCTACCACTTCCTCTTTAGCTCCTTCCGTCTTCTGAAACTCATGAATATGGGGCTCCTTCTTAACAACATTGCATCCCCAACCGCCACGGCCCGTCCTAGGTACATTTTCTCTCAAACCTCCCAACTCAATGCCAGTGGTAGATGAGCCAGAATACCCTTGCTCTCTATCACCATTTCCATACTCTTATTACTGCCACCAACCTCTCTTCCTTAAAGGTTCATGCAATCCAAGTTTATCATCCAATCCAGGTTTTGGTAGCGATTATCTAAAAACCACCTGGACATTCTCTCTCTGTTTTCAATATGTCCAGTGCCTGGATCAGTCATAATCTCCAACCCAACCTCTAATCCCCTTCTAAAGGACTTCAACATATATCTCAGCTGGGTTCTCGTTGCATGAAGGCAATCCTACTTTACCTGACTGACACTACTAGACATCTTAGGAGGAACTCACCAATGGAATAAGGAGGCTGTCACTGTGGGGAGATGTTCTGGGATAAGAAGGCTACAGGCAACAAGGAAAGTTTCTAGGAGGAAATCACAGTTGAGGCATGGTAGCAAAGTCTGGAAAGTCAGAAGCATAGACTAGAGGGGAATGAAGGTCAACCAGCCTGGGCCCTTCCCCAAATTGGAGGCCCTGGGAGGAACTCATCAGTGGTAGAAGCTGGCATGGGTTTAATTATCATCTTTAAGCATATGATTCCCAAATCTACCCATTTATCCAGGCCTCATCTGTCTCCTGAGTTCAAGTTCCATGTTACCAATTACCTATATGGATATCAAACTCAACATAAACAAAATGAAACTCATTATCTTTCTCACTAATTCCAACACTTTTTCTAATTCTGCTACTTTACTCAAGGTCTAGAATAATCCTTCCAATTACCCAAGAGCCCAGAGATATTTCTCTCTCCTTCATTGCCCATGCCCATATCCATTCAATTGCCAGGCCTTACCAATTCTACTTCTATATATTTATATCTACCTCCTTCCCATAGCCAATAACCCTTGTCTAGGCCATCATTACCACCCATCTGAAGTATTCAATTTAGTTCAAAAATAAATAGCTTTGAAAATTGGTCTTCCTGCAGCCAGACTTCCCTTTGTGAACACATCCTCTACACAGCTGCCAAAGGGATATTCTTTATCTAACTGCCTCCATCTTGTCCCTGAAGAAGCTTCAGTGACTCCCTATTGCTGTTAGGATAAAACCACACACTCCTCTTTCTGACTTCTGAAGCCCCACATAAACTGGTGCCAGCTCACCTTCCTGATTTATCTTACACTGCACCACCTCTATGTTTCAGAACGGTCAAGCTGCTGTTTCCCACATACAAATCCTGCCCCCTCCCCAATTCCATGCCGTGGTACCAGCTGTCCCCCTTGCTTGCAATGCTTTCCCGTCTTCACCTCCAACTCTCACAGGCTTGCCTTGAAGGTCCTTCTCCTTAAGGTCTTTCCTGAAACACAGTCATTGGTCCCATTCCCGTCTGCCACCAAAGTTACCTTGTATGTGGCTTTTCATTGACTTCTCTGTGTGTGTGCTATGGTAGCACAGTAGAAAGTAAGCTCCTTAAGGGCATAGACTATTTTGTTTTTTTCTTTCTATGTCCAGGAGCTAATAGAGTCCCTAAGAGGTCTCTAATAAATGCTTAACAAATAAATGAATACAGACAAAAAGAACCTGATTTGTTTCTCACACACGCTTACTAAATAAAATTTTGAATTAGTCAATGCAAATAATCAAGGATAAATCAACATTACCTGAGAATATGAGTCACAAGCAACATTTGGAGTACAAGGAATGGGTATGAGAAACTTTCACGGAGAGGCGGGGTCCACATCACACGTGTACACTGAAAATAAAAATGCACTTAGGACCACGTAGTAAACTTTCTAGATGGTAATAGGTGCTCATTGAAAATGGCTAATCGTGGATATAAATCAAACAGGAGTGTTATTTACGAATTATTTACGTAAGTCACAAAAGAAGTTTTTTACTTTTTCTCCCAAACAGCATTACTGAAATTATAAATGATACCGCTATATAGCTCTCAAAGCCTTATACGGAATCCTGACATTAAGAACAGAAAGTAAGCTTCTAGCATATGTGCTAAAAATAAAGACCAACGTGCCCCTGCTAGGAAAGCTTTATAGTGAAATTTAAAGTCTTCCATAAGAAATGGCCTTTTAAATGAGCTCTTTTGTTACGTCTTCTCTCACTTGAATTTTAGACTTAGCTATCAGAAATTATGGTCTGTGGGAGTAGAGAATAGGGACAAAAGAAACCTACAGGTAATTTTCTAGACCTCATTTTAAGCCATTAATTTCATCTTTTTTTGCCCATTCAACTTTAAATGACAAGGAAACAGAGTCTATCTGTCAGGCTGCAAAGGAAGGGAAGTGAGAATTTCTGAGTTGAAGGATGTCCTCCCTCCCACATTGTCACAGGTAGCTGGCAATGGCAATTCTAAAAGGGAGCTGGCCCCAAGAGCCACTAGCAAGAAAGACAAAAGGATGGAGAGTCTCACTTCCAGCATGTAAGGAGAGCAGAGAAAAGTTTGTAGTGAGCCACAAAGAGTCTGAGATTATTGGGTTTTCTACAGCAAAATAAGTCATCCCTGCTCAAAGTCTAGGCCAGAGGTGGGGAACCTGTGGCCTTGAGGCCACATGTGGACCTTGACTGAATCCAAACTTCACAGAACAAACCTCCTTCATAAAATGATTTGTTCTGTAAAACTTGTACTCTTCCAGAAGAGAAGATAAAGGGATGGTATTCCATTCTGCAGGTTATCAAGAAAAATGAACCTTTTCATTATAATATAGAAAGGCTTCAGTGTAAAAGCGAAAAAGCAATAGGACCTAGAAAGGCCAAAGGGAATCTGGAGGGCAGAAAAACAAGACCACAGAGAAAAAGAAGAACCACAGAAAATCTGGAGCTAAGTAATAAAGAGAAGGTTTATCTTGAAGAGAAGGGAGAAGGACAGTCTGGGAATGCTGACATGGAGCCACCTGCACATGGTGAGGGCTGGCAGGTGAGGGCTCAGCCATCAGGGTTAGAGAAGAGGTGAAGAGTTGGGGCTGGGACGTTCTCCATCGAGGCAGGTATTTCCCGAACTTACATTAATAAGAGGGGTCTGCTACCTTTCAGGGACATGTATTGAGGATGTGTGTGATAAAGAACCTCCCATGACTCGTCAGGACTGGGGACTACCTGCTACCTTTGGTGCCCCACAAAGGCCACTGCTACCAGAAAGGGTCCTGGAAGCACTGTTCAGAATTACGAAGCTACAGAAAGCAGGGCCGCAGAGAGTATTTTCACCACTCCTATCAAGCAAAGGCAAGGACTTCAGAGGAAGGTGTAGCAAGTAAACAGCAGCTGGTTAACATGATGGTTTCTAAGAATTCATTTTGGATTCTAGAGAACAACTTAAAATATAGGAAAGGCAAGCTCTTAGCTAGAGATGAATGTACCTAACAGGGGTTTCTAAGACAAAGGGGGAATGCTGTCCCAATTGTTTTTAAAATAGAATAGAATCATACCTAAAAACCATGCTAGTGGCTTTAATTTGAATTTCTACCCAATATTCTCAGATCTATTATTAAGGGAACGGTTACTAATCATCTAGAACAGAAAGTCAGGATCACAAAACACCTCGATGGCTTCATGAAGAGGTCATGCCAGACAAATGCAATTTCCATTTTGATAGTTACTAGATTAGAAAACAATGCTATACACATATATTTATATACACATCTGTACATTCCATACACACATATATAAGAGAGATATTTATGTATCTATAACCTCACACCTATACAAAGCATTATCTATCTCTATATAAGTGGCCTTCGCAGGGCACCAAAGGTAGCAGGTAGTTCCCAGTCCTGACGAGCCGTGGGAGGTTCTTTATCACACACATCCTTGATACAGGTCCCTGAAAGGTAGCAGACCCCTCTTGTTAATGTCAGTTCAGGAAATAACTGCATCGATGGAGACCGTCCCAGCCCTGACTCTTCGCCTCTTCCTGACCCTGCCGGCTGACCCCTCACCATGTGTGGGTGGCTCCACACGAGCATTCCCTGGAGTTCACTCGATCACTTCCCTCTCAGACTGTCCTTCTCCCTTCTCTTCAGGATAAACCTCATCTTTATTACTTAGCTCCAGATTTTCTGTGATTCTTCTTTTTCTCTGTGGTTTTGTTCTTTTGCCTTTCCAGGTCCAATTTCTTCTTTGTTTTTTACTGAAGTCTTTCTGTATTATAACAAAATGGTTCATTTTTCTTAATAGCCTGGAGAATAGAATGTCATCTCTGGTACCCCTTTATCTTTATATATATTTATTTATATCACATATAAATATATATACATCTCTATGTACACACACATTTACATAACCACACACATTATATATGTATATGTGTATGTATATGTATATTAACACATGTATACCTATACAAATATAGACATATCTAGCCATCTAATATCTATCACCTGCTTAGATTTTAGCCAAGAATTTGATAAAACCCCTAACCTCTGATACTATTTTGAGGATGAGATAGAGACTTGTATGGTGGGACACTTACAATTAAGCTGAGGGCTTTAAAACTGGCTGAGTGGCTGGGCCCAAAGAGTCCTCATTAATGGTTCTGTATAAGCTAGGAAAGAGATTTCCAGTGGAGTGCCCCAAGGATCTGTTCTAGGCATTCAACAGTTTAGAATTTTTATCAGTGACTTAGACAAAATTCACAGATAACGTGTTTAACAGATTTTCAGATAATACAAAGCTAGAAAGACTGGCTGACAAGCTAGATGACAAAATACAAAAGGATTTTGATAGGATAGAACATTGAGGAATCAAAGAAGATGGATATCATAGTGATAACTACTGTCTTCTACTTGGGTTCAAAACAATCAATTTCACAACTATAAGAAACTAGACAACAGTTCATCTGAAAAAAGATTTGGGCTACAATGCCAAAATAAATTAACCTTGGGTTATGGTAGCTAAAAAAGCTAATGCAATCTGAGGCTACATTTGGAGAAACATGGTGAACAGGAGGAAGGAGATGGAGTTGTGCTCTGGTCAGATTACATTTGACCTCTCTCACACAGTTTGGAATGCCACATATGAGAAGACACACTGATAATATGTCCAGAAGACAGTACTCAGGATGGTGAAGGGCCTGCAGGTAGCACACGAGGATTGATCAAGAGAGCTGGAGATGATCAGCTTAGAAAAGAAAAGAGGGGGAGAGAAGAGAAAGAAATACACCTTTAGGACTTTCAAAGGCTGTCACGTGGCAAACTGATTAGACTTATTCTGCCTGGTCATAGAAGTGATAAGCTAGGAACGCTAGAGGGAAGTTGAAGTGAAGCAGACTTTGGAGTAAGACAAGGAGACAATTTCTCTGGATGAGAATCGTCCATATTTGGCCCGTGCTGCTCCTGAGGCAGTGGGCTCTGCTCACCAAAGGTCTTAAAACAAAGAGCAGTTCACCACTTATTAAGTACATTATTAGACTGGAACCTTGTTTTGGTAAAACTGAACCAGATGGCTTCTGGTAAGGTCACTTCCAATTGTGAGATTCTGTGAGTCTACGTTAGTGAAGCTAACAAACATCCAATTGACTCATTCAAGCTTCATTCCTTCTTTACTCAGCCATCCTGAAGAAAGTAATGCTACAATTGAAAGAACGGAAAAAACAACTGGAAAAAGATTAATTCTAAATCATCAAGTGCTGACCTCCCTTAAATCTGAAAATTAATGTATAACTTCCTTTCAAATTGGCCCTTCCCAAAGCCCTTCTTTGATCCCTCACTGCAGCCTGAAGGTGACTACAGATTCCCAAAGGCCAGCAAGCAGAAGCCCTGGCAGGCTCTACTCTGAGGGCGAGGCTCCAAGTACCCTCTCCATAACAGACCGAGCCTACTTCCTGTCAACCAGCCTCCATCCAGAGAGGCTCACCACCAGGAGACTGACCACTTAGTGAGAAACTCTTTGGCTATGGCACCTCGTGAAACAATGAGTAATATTAAACAGTCCTCACTCCTCCAGTGGCCCCCTTCCCCTTCTGCAAAGACAGAGTAGCAGAGAATATGTAGAATCACAGTTTTTAAGTCATCTAAAAATATTAACCAAGCCATTGGTTCTTCAAATGTGAGGTCTTTGTCCAATGACATTGTTATGAGACTGCAAGGATTCTTAACCTAGAGTCCATGAACTTACTTTTTAAAATAGTCAATAGTTGTATTTCAATCTAATTAGCTTCCTTTGTAATTCTATGTATTTTATTTTACACTTTTAAAAACATCCTGAAGGCTATCCAAAGACCTCACCAGACCACCCATAACCACAATGCAAAAAAAGGTTAAGAACCTTAATATAAGGGTAACTGAATTATACCACTATTGACTCTCTCACTATAAATGAAACCTAAAGACAGAAAGACATTGCAGCTAAATGGAAGGCTGGCTCCCAGGTCACCCTTAGAGAGACAAATGAGGAAATTAAAGAAATTGGTTGATCATTCATTCAAATGCACCAAGAAATAAAATGTAATGGTATATTTGGTCAGCTGGCATTGTGGTGCTTGTGATAAATATTTACAAAAAGACCACCATGAAAACAATTTTAGTTTATACATCATTTGTTGAAGAAAAAGGAGAGAAAGACCCCTCAAATTATTCCAATACTCGGTAATTTCATTGCAAAGGAGGGAATGGGGGAAATGAAGAAAAATATAGCTTGGGAGAGTAAGTAAAGAGAGGTTAAAGCCACAGAAGCCCCATGCCTCATACATACACGAACACTTCATTTAAGAAAAGAATCAGAAGGTGCTGGACATGGAGATTA